GTCGCCGCCAGCCGACGCGACACGAACCTGCGGCACGTGTGGCCGATGTCCGCGGCCGGCGTGCCGCCCGCCGGCTGGGCCGCCCGAGCCGGGCCGCCCCTCGCCGCGGCAGCGGTCCCCGCGGCATCGGGCAGGCCCGCCCAGGGGTCGCAACTGCGACGGGGTCAAATCTCAGGGGGCCCCAACGGTTCAGCCCCCAACGGGCGGAAAAAACTCTAGTCAGAGTTCTTGTTTGCATGATCACCTTGGCAGCGAAAGCCACATGGTACCCATTAAGGAAACCCGCTTGGTTTTCATCGTGCGCCGCTGGGCTCTCTACACCGCCACTGCCCTGTGATGTGGAGATTCTTAATACGGCAAGACGGGCCCATATAAACTCAAGGCGCTCCAAGGCTGTTGCCAGATTGCTCCGGAGACGTAAGGAAGGCTCCAATAGGCCTTCTAGGAGAGTTCGACGAAGCCAGACTCATCCAATGTCAAAGACCCTGAGGAACCCGCAGGGAGCCGAAGGAAACCCACGGAAACCCCGGGAATTTCCAAGAATTCGTAGGAACCCCAAAGACTCCTCGGGAACCCTTGAGAATCCGAAGGAACTGATGGGAATCATCCAGAGGATTCCTCTGGGAGCGTCAGGGATTATAGCAGGCACCCTAGCAGGACTCCAGCAATAATCATTCAGGAGCCCATAGAAATCCCAATGCATTCTTAACAAACCGCCGATCTGGCGCGTGAGCTACCAGGAGCCTCAGCAGGGGCTTCAGGTCTGAGCCAGAACAACAGCTTCAACTCTGCTTGGGGGGGGTCGCCGGGGTGGCTCTGCCGGGGGACGGGGGGGGGGGCGGCCCCCCATATGGGTTTTCTCAATGATTTGCGCATCCCCAAAATGTTTCGGGGAGTCCCAGGGACCCCCCTTCAGATCTCCCCTCGGAATCCTCTCCGGACCCTCCCCAGGGACGGGGTGGAGGGGGGGGCGGTCCCCCATCTGGCGTTTTCATAATGGTTTGCGCATGTCGAGGAGGGAGGAGGCCACAGAGCCGCGAAGATCACCGAATCCGGACCCCCCCGGACCAGCGGCTCTGGCTGGAGGCCATTGCAATCCTTCAGGGATGCCCAGACATCCGCAATAATCCCTCGGGAGTCCGCAGAGATCCAGAGGACTCCTCCAAGAAGCCTTTTAAGAATCCGCAAGAATCTTCAAGAGTCCTTAGCAGCCCCTCTGGGTCCTCAGAACCCATCGGGAGCCCAAGAAATCTTCGGGCATGCTCGGGAATCCCAGAATTTTGTTCCAAGAGTTCGTGCGAACCCGTGGGAATCCCGATGAATCCCTGGGAACTCAGATTTCTGATTCGTTGGGATCTGACCTGGTCCGTTGGGATATGGCCCGCTCCGTCGGGGTCTGGCCCTGTCTCGATCGCAAGCGGCGGCCGTCGTGAGACGGCGGATGCCGACCGCCGCCGCGACCAGGCGAGGCGAGCGAAAATCGCCGCAAAGGGAAGGGGTCCCTGTGTCAAAGCGCTGTTTTTCCACCAGTTGCAAATGCAACGTGGTTTCGCTCACCTGCCAGGAAGGACCCGACAGCCCAGACGAATATGAAAGCCGTCGACTACGGAGACATGCAAGACATGATTAACTGCTACATGTTGCATCCCCCTTCCCCCCTGCAAAGTGCAACTGCACTGCGGCATGGCCCGCCTGCTCACCCCATAGCGCCACCGTTGCTGACCCTGGCCCCGCCGGCTCCGCAGCGCCCGCTGCGCTCGCGGCGACTAGCGCCCCACTGTCTCCCATCAACACGGGTCCCAGGTTGGAGCGCGAGTGGGCTCTGTGAAATGGGATACGCAGCCAAAAGGCATTGGCTGTTGGCGGCCGCGGCGGGGCGCAAATGGGATCGCACTCTGCTTCGGCGGCCCCCCCCCCCCCCCACGCGCGCACCACCGCCGCCACGCCCCAAACGCTGCTTGCGAAGAGGCCAGCCAAAACAGCGAAGTTCTGAAACATGCTCTGCTCAGCCGTGCTGGACCCAATGTAACTGGAGCTGCGATGGCCGATCCGATGGATCTCTGCAGTGGGCCAGCTACGATGGACTGTTCCCGGGAGGCTAGAAATGATGGCTTAAAGTATAGTTTGCTCGCTGGGCTCGGAGTGCGGTTTCACGCCGAGGGCGCCGCGCTGCGCGCGCGCGCCCCCCTCGTGGATGGCGAGGTCCACCATGTTTGCACGACCCGACGACCAGCTGCCATTATCCGCCGCGCACATGCGCCTCATGTTATTCACCACCCCTGGAATACTAATCACGCCACTTCATGGCGTATTCTGCGCCCGGACTTATGTCATACCGAAAACGAACGCACCCAATAGTTTGTGATGTGCTGCCGCATGCCTCCTGGACTTCTGACGGCCTTGGAATAAAAAATGCAGGTCTGCCAGTTCCGCGGGGCGCGTCTGGCAGACCCTTGCCCGGCGACAGGCCCTCCACACCTGTCCTGGGAAGAGATTCGAACCTGCGAGCGAGTAGCCCCAGGTAAACTTGAAAGCGCCCTCCAACGCAATACCATGATTAAAAAAAACACACGCTGCTTCCGCCATGCATCCGCGTCCGCCCATCACGCGTAAATCGTTCAAGTCAATTATGACGAGCAAGACCGGTTGCACGTGCCTCTATTGCTCGCGCGCTGCTGGATGCGCTCTGGTGCGCTCTTCGCAACGCACGCCCACGAATGCACGTTGCAGGCCCGGGATCTCCGTCGTATGATTGCCGCCCCCGTGAGGGCGGCGCAGCGCGCCACTGTGGATCCATCTAGTCGACGCACATCCTGGAGCCCCGTGAGTTTCGGGAATGAGGAGGCCTTGATCATATTCTTTCCGGCTCGCACTCCCTAGCTGCCCTGAAAAGAAAACCGTAAACTCGTCATCTGCGGGCGCAGCCGAAATTCTCATGATTCGGCGGCGAGCCAGGGGGAAGTGGGAGATGGCAGTCTCAGAAGGCGGCGGGGCTTCTCAGAAACCATCGCGCCTTCTGAAGTATTTTCTTTGTCTTCGGGGAAGGTTTAGGACGCTTCTCTGAAGGCTGGGGGACTTCCGAGCCTTCTGAGAAGGCCCGCCCTTTCCCCCTCTCGCTCGCCGCCGGGTGACTGCGCGGCGGTAGTTCTCCATTAAGCTGAAGATGTTTGGCTCGAAGTTATCTTTGTGAAAACCTTCGGGGAACTTCTCCCATACCAGATCCTGGATATCCTTTCTCTGCGCAAGCGCGTAGCAACCATCCCTGTCTGCGGGCCCACGCTTTGGCATACTGGGCAGCCCCGCGTGTGTTGCCCCAGATGTACAATGGTGGCCTCTTGCCACGCCGGCTGCTGATTCGCTTGCATGTCCCGCCTTGAAGGCCAAATCACAGCAAAACGCTTCGATCTCAAACATCAGTTGCTGCCCGCACGGGGTCACACGGTACCTCCCGGTCTTTGAAACCACCACGGCGACTCCTGGTCTTCGAGCAAACCAAACCGCTTGCCTTGATTGCAATTCTGCTGAATCCCGTCCGGCGCGGATACCGCACTGAAGAAGCTCCTGCCTTGGAACGCACATGCTCGACCATGAGTTCCCAGAAGGTCAAACACAATCCACGGGACATCCCCTACCTTGGGGTAATACGCCCGGCGGCCGGCATGCTCGTACAAAAAGATGTGATGTGCCAACTCCGACGGGCGAATGAAACGAGAGAAGCTTGTTAGGTCCATGCCCCAGCAGAACTTCCAAGACTCCGTCAACACCAACTTCTGTACCCGCCCTTGTCGCCCTTGCCCCATGCTTCGAGCCTTTCCATTCGGCCTGGGACCTGTTCCCATGTTTTGTCCTTTGCCGCCGCCTGTCTTGCCTCTTTGCCCTTGCCGTTGGTCTCGAGCTTACCCTTGCCGTTCTTGCCGACAGCCGACATGATTACCCTTGCCTTTGCCTTTGTTCTTGCCCTTGCCCCTCCCTGGACAGGCGCCCGGGGACTGGCAGTTTCCCTGCGGAGGATAGGTCGCTGTTTTCCTTTTCCTATCTGCATGTTTGGACTTCGTCAAGCGACTGGCGTTGATCTTTACGGCTGTCCTGCATCCAAAAATCGAAATAGCTCACTTCAGATTTGCGTTCTCCAGAAATCAGAAGGAATCCCTAAGAATCCTTCGGGATCCTCAAATATCTTCAGGAATCCGTGGGGTTCCTCAGAAAGTCTCAGGAGTCCTCAGGAGTGCTCAAGAACCCCCCAGAATCCTCAGGAGCCCGCGGAGCTCCTAAAATTCCCCAGGAATCCTTATCAATCGTGAAGCATCCTGCAAGAATCCTCCAGGAGTCCTCAGAAATCGTGATACCTGATGAGTCATTCAGGAATCAGAATGCGTTCTCAGGAATCCTTCAGGAATCCTCAATTCATCAGGAGTGCGTAAAAACCAAGAAAATCCGAAGGAATCTTCCAGGAATCCGCAGGAATCATCAGTCCTGAGAAATCCATGGGGGTCCTCAGGAATCCAAAATAATGCATAGGAGCCCAAGGATTCCCAAAGACTCCCCGGGAATCCATAGGAACCCCTAGGATTCCTCAAAAAAGCGTGGGAACCCGTGGAAATTCGCAAGAATCCTCAGGAATACACCGGAGTCCCCCGGAATCTAATTGTCTGACCCGTTGGGATCTGATCCAGCCTGTTGGGATCTGACCCGACCCGTTGGGATCTGACCCCTTCTCGGTTGCCAAGCGGTGGCCGTTGTGAGACGGCGGGGGCCAACCGCCGCGTTGACCAGGCGAAGCGGGGGAACATCGGCATGAAAAGAAAAGGTCCTGAGGGGAAACGGGTCCCCAAGTTTTTCGCCGGTTTCGGTCCTCAGAGATCCTCCACGGGTCCCGGGACTATCAGCAGACGGCTCGGGAGGGAGAGCTGGTCCTGGGGGGAGGCCCCGGGGTCCAGGACCCGTTTCCCTCAGGACCCGCCTCCTTCATGCCGAGGAGGGGAGGGCGACGACGGCGGCGAGGGAGTGCGAGGAAGGAGAGAGGGAGGGAGGGGTGCGGTTGCCGGTCTGGCAGGACACGCATCTTGACAGATTAGCAGCCCCATCCCTTGCCAGGCGGGTCCAGGAGGAGAGGGAGGGTCCTGCGGGCTGTCAGTCCGGCGCGCGGCGAGATCAGCCGCCGCTTTGGCTGCAGCCGCCCGTATCAGTTCAGGGGCCAGCGGTGCAGGCGGCCAGAGGTCGACACCCTCGGCCAAGGCGCATCACAGGTCGACGCCGACCACCGACGCCTTCAAGACCTGCTCGGTGAAGCTCACAATGACGTTCGGGAAGAAGGCGTCCTGTGCTCCCCACAGGGTCACTGACCGCCCCCTGCCCCTCCCTGAGCACTCATTGCCTGCTGCTGCTGCCGCTCATCTTCCTCCCTTCTCCTTACCCCCCACTCGGCGGAGGACAAACCTCCCTTTAGTAGACCTCCCTTTAGTGATAACGGCCTGGGACCGAAACCGACGGACCTGGACCCGCAAAAACGACGGCCGCGACGCCCTCTCGCGAACCGAAAACTACCAATTCCTTAATCGACGCGTCAGGGTAGGAGGTCTGTCCACCTCCGATTCCGTCGGCCCTCCCGCCACGCCTTGCTGGGCGGAGGCGGGCGACGCGGCGCGATGCCTCGGGGGCCTCGGCGGCGCCTGGTGCCGCGGCGATGCGGTGCCGGCTGGCGGCACGGGGAGGGAGGGAGGAAGGGAGGAAGGAGGAGGGAGGAGGGAGGGAGGGAGGAGGGAGGGAGGAGGGAGGGAGGAGGGAGGGAGGGAGGAGGGAGGGAGGAGGGGGGAGGGAGGGAGGGAGGAGGGAGGAGAAGGAGGAGGAGGAAGAGGAAGAGGAAGAGGAGGAGGAGGAGGAGGAGAAGGAGGAGGAGGAGGAGGCGAGGCGGGCTGCGGGGCTCTTCTTGCGCACCCCCCCATTGCCGCCCGCCCGAGGCGCTGGGGCGGCGGCTGCCGGTGCGGCTGCGCCCGGGAGATCGAGGGCGGCACGGGTAGGTCCCTCGTGCTGCTCTGAGCTCGCCGAGCCCCGCTTGTGTGTGGTGCGTTCATCTCCCGACCTCTCCGAAGCGCTGTCTCTCCCTCTCTCTCTCGCCCCCCCCCCATACCTCCCCATGACATCCCCCTCCCCCCATCCATGCCGCTCCACTCCCTTTCTGCCTCCGGCATCGGCTGCCTGAGCGCTCCGATGCTGCGATAAGGAAGATGACGAGGGAAGAAGAGTACGAAGGAGAGAAGGATGACGACGAGGACGGCAACATACTTAGGCGATTCCGTCCTGGCGCGCGCTACCGAGGTGACAAACACATACCCATACAGCTACTCCCCGAACCTTTCCCAGGGTGCGTTCTGACAAGTTATTCGAGGCGAATCCAGCCGCAGCGACGAGGAATGGGCAGCGGCACCTGTAGAGATTCTTCCCTGAGCTAGGGGGAGGAGCAGAACGAGGGAGGAGGGGGAGGGCGGGGGGACAACGACGACGAGGACGAGGGCGAGGAGGGCGAGGAGGCTCCAGCTGTTTGAGCGCCCCGATGCTGCACAGGTCCGGCATGGTGGTGCACAGGATCTCCACGCTGCCCCTCGCGGTGGCCCGCGACGCAGGGGAGTCCATGTCGATGCACATGTTGGCCATCCTCAGGCAGACCTCGGGGGCGGGGGGGGGGGCGGGCAAGGGGAAGGGCGGACGGCAGGGAGGGGGAGGGAGAGGGGCGGGAAATGGTGGGGGGGGAGATCGAGTGAGTGCAGAGGTGGGAGGCAGAGGGTGAGGGCCGGCAAGAGGCGGCGAGCTGGGGGAGGGACGGGGAGAGGGAGGCAGCGGAGGCAGGGGGCAGCGGGGGGAGAATGGGTGTGCAGAGGGGAGGGGCGGGCGAGAGAAGAGGCGGGAGCTTCGCGGAGGGGAGGGCATACCCCGCCCCAAAGAGCACCCCCTGTGGCGAGCCTCGGCGAGCGCCTGGTACATCGGGGTCGAGCGGCCGTCGGTTCGCCAGGGGTGCTCCGCCGGCAACAGCCATTCGCCTGGGAGGCCCTGCTCACGGCCACGGGTCCGGTCTTTCCCCCTCCTCCCCTTCGTGGGCGATGTGGGGCAGAGGAAGGACAGGCGTGAGAAACGAGAGGCTGACGATGATTGCATGATGCCGATGAGGAGGGAGGGAAGAAGAGAAGGAAAAAGGAGTAGAAAGGAGAGATGGAGAGGCGGAGGAGGAGGAGGAGGAGCAGCAGTAGCAGCAGCAGCAGCAGGATATCCTTGGAATTCGCTGCTAGCTACCCTGTGGGTGGAGGGGGAGGAGGAATCGGAATCGGAATCGGAACAGACGCGAAGCGTCACAAGATCAAAACCGCCAAGCCTCTTATGGGTGAGCACGCGTGACACACAAAGCAAAGACAAGACGCAACATGTACTATCTGATCGGGAAGTTAAGCTCACGGCCACAAAACAAGTGTTCACCATATTTCAGAAATACAAGACAACTGTTCATGTCCCTCCACAAGTGGAGGAGGAGGAGGAGGAGGAGGACGAGGAGGACAAGAATGAGGAGAAGGGGAAGGGGAAGGGAGAAGAGGAGGAGACGAAGGAGACATGGGAGGAGACAGGGGAGGAATAGAAGGAGGGCATATGAATACATTGCGCAGGAGAGGAACGAAAGAGGGAGAAGGGAAGGAACTGGACCAGTCGAGGCAACGGGCGTCCCTCGTCGCCGCCAGTGACGGGGCCCCTGTGGCCCTTGCAGCGCACGATCCAGTCGTGGAGCCTCCGGCCAAGCTGCGACAACTCCCCGTCCCCCGACCGCTCCTCTGTCTTCTCCGCTTGGTTCATCTTGGAAACGCTTTTTGTTAGCGTGTTAACTCGTCGCGCGCTTGGCGGCCTGAAAACGCGAAACCGTCTCTGAGTTTGTCATGCGTTTTCTGATTTTTGGGGGGAGACTCATCTTCATCGTAATCGGTGGGGGGCTGAATCAAGTTTCCGAGCGGAGAGCTGCAAAGGGAGAAGAATTGCTCTGACACCGGTCTGACGCCGGTGCGAACCAAGCCTGGGAACCCACGGCCCGTCCGCGGTGGGCTCCGACGATGGAAAACAGCAGATCTGAAACCACCAAGCCAACGAAACGTTGTTTTGGCGTTGTTGTCCTTCCCAACCCTCCTGTGTCAGGTTCTCTCGATTTGAATAGAACACTGTGGTCCCCACTTCCTCTCACGCCTCCCTCCCCCATTGCTCCTCCTGCGATCCTCCCCGGGTGGCTGCGATCTGCGCAGCTGTCGCCACTTTCGTGGGCTCCTGGGAGGCATGGCGGAGGCGAAGAGTACGCAGACCCAGACGATACCTCGCTGCTCCCCAGGTGCCTGCGAACTGCGCCGATGTCGCCGCTATCGCGGGCTCCTGCGAGGCGCAGCGGAGGTGGGGGCTACGCAGACCCAGACGGGACCTCGCTGCCCCCTGGGTGGCTGCGAACAGCGCAGCTGTCGCCACCAGATGCCGAAGCCCCGACCCCCCGCTGGACCGAGGCGGGCCCGGCACCACAGACCAGGAGCACGACATGACGCCCCGAAAATGCACCCAGGGGGGCCCCGAAGACGCACCGACCGGCCCCCGAGCCCGAGGCGCTTTCGAAACTTATTTCAAGAGACCCTGCCCCCCTTCCCACACAACAAGTGCAAGGGGCCGGCGGATGTGGCGCAAGCCTATCGAATCTCAAGCGAGAGTTCCATGTTCAGCGAGTCACTCCTGCGGCAACTCATGGGGGCCTCCATATCATCGTGGCGGCTCTTGCGATTCGAAATTCGTCGACATTAAATCGACGCTGAGTCGGTGCTATCTCATCGAATACCAAACGCTAGTCGACGCTAAAACACGCTAAAAACAGAGTTACGAAGGTACTCAAGACTCCTGTGATAAAGCCACGGTCCACGCGGACAATTGCTTCATTTGTTCAAGATGAATGGCTGCATCATGCGCAAGAAATTCGAGCGACAACCCATCTTGAAAAAGAAACCACCCTTCATCCGAAACATTGTAGACGATGTTATGTCGCGGGCTCTCTATGTTCAAATGAAGTCTCAGGCGGGAGTACAAGCTTGAAACAGAGCGACGATACATCCGTGCGACAGCTTGAAACAGAGTGACAAGAGCGACAACCCCGCTTTGAAAAGGAACCACCCTCCATCCGTGTACTGCCTGCGAGCTGAAAGAAACGACTGCGTGCGGGTCTACGTACGGTGGGCACCACGCATTGAAAACGGCCAGCCCTCCATCCGTGCAACTCTTGCAAAACTGACCAAACGAATGTTCCCAACGCCAACGCGGGATGCACATGTTGAGAACAAATCGTTTTCCGTCCGTCCGGCTGCTGGCAGACCCAGGCGCCACGGTCATGTCGTCCGAAAACCTCAAACACGCGTACAGGCAGGCCTGATGTTGCGAGGAAGACAGGGGGACGATCACCCCTCCCTCTTCCCATTCGGGAAAGGGTCTACCCCTCCCCCATTACCCCCTCTCCTGGATATGGACGGGTCGTTTCGCGGGTGGTTGGAGCGTCCAAGATGGCCAAAGATGGCTCCAAGAGGGCCTCAGAGAACCCAAGATAACCTCTAAGGTTGCCCAAGATATCCCAAGATGCGTCAAGATGGCTCCCAAGATGCTTGAGGAAGCCCCAAGACCACTTCACGACGGTTCCGAACGGTCACGGAACCTCCCCAGGAGGCCGCCAAGAAGCCAAAATCCTTCAAAAACCTTAAGAATAACAATGAATTGTGCCTTCACGCCTTTTCGCGTCCGATGGCCTTCCGAGGCTTCAAGAGGACCCGTGAGGGCCCCAAGAGAGGGCCCAGAGAGCTCCAAGACGGCCCCAAGAGCGCTCAAGAGCGCTCCAAGCGCTCCAAGAGGGGCCCAAGAGGCGATGCTGGGGGCTCCCGAGGGAGGCGGCTGACTAAAGCTCCCTCCTTCATGGATCGATATCATCCAAGTTTGCCCCAAGAGGCGCCCAGGAGGCCCCAAGATGGCCCTAAGATGGCTCCAGGATGGCCCCAAAAAGCCCCCAGGGGGCCCCCAAGAGGACTCAAGCTGCCCCAAGAGGCCCCCCCGAGGCACCCAAGACGCCCAGGAACCCTCCAGGATCGCCGAAAGACCCCCAAGACGTCCCGAGAGGCCTCCAAGAGGCGCCCAAGAGATATCCCGAGAGGCTCTGAGAAGCATCCAAGAGACCTCTGGCCCTGTTGTTTGCCCTCCTCCTCCTGCTCATCATTCCTCCTCCTCCTCCTCCTCATCAGCATTCTCCTATTCATCTTCCTTCTCACCACTCCCTATGCCTCCATCCAGCCACCTCCTTTTCCTCCTCCCTCCTCCGCACGGTTCGGCCGTCCACCTCTTTGCCCCCGCACGTCCCTGATCACCTCAACTTGCCTGGACATCGTTTCTGGATTGGCTGGCGGGGGCACTTTTTAGTCAGCGGCCGCGGGCGAGCGCGCCGGCTGCGAGTCAGGTCAAAGCGGGCTACGCAAAGACTCATTCGGCAAACGAAACGCGGGAAAAACAAACAGAGCAACGCGCGAGGCGACGGCTAAGCGCGGCCGAAGCCTCGGGTGGGTGGCTGAGGAGACTAAGACTGACGGGAACTGCCAGCGTGCAAAGCTGCAAATCCGTCGGAGGCGCCAAACGTCGGAAAATGAACGACGGCCAGGGACAACTCCGAGAGAGAAAACGTGATACCGTACCTCAGACGACTGCGTGGGCACCAGGGTGGCCGTGGCCAACGAAACGTCGGTCGAGGTAGGAAAGAGAAATGCAAATGCGAGGCCCCAGACGACGCGAAGCGCGAGAACCATGGTGCTCCAAAGGACCGTCGGCCAAGGAATTGTTGCCATGAGGCGAGAGCGCTGGCAGGCTGCAACTCCCAGGGTGGCGGAAGTCGAGAGACCCCTGGCAGCAGTACGCACAAGTGCGGGGAAGCGGCATAGCCGCGACGCAAGCCAAAATGGCGCGGGTCACCACGTACCTGTGCGAGAAAGGGTGTCAGGTTGACCCAACACGGGCCCGACTAGGCACAACGCAAAGGGCTGACACCAGAGATGACGAGCGTACGAGTGCCTCGAATGAGCGGAAGCCGACCAAGGACCATCCGCACGCTCGGGATGATGGACAAGACGAAGCCAAGACGGCCGCTAGCCCAGGATGAGGAATCGCGATTTGAGCGGAAATGCCGAAGCCGGAGCGGTGGGGGGACAGCACCACCACACGACGAGGCCAAAGATGAACCGCGGGTTGCGCGGAATGAAAGAGGCCGGGCGGAGGCAGAACAACCGCCACCCGGCAAGGGGCCGAAGCCAGGCACCGCAGGGGGGGGCTGCCCCAACCCTGTGGGCCGCCCGGTGGCGCGGGACACGCGCCCCAGGGGTGAGAACAGCAACAGCTGGCCGAAAGCCGATATTGGACAGGTGGACTGCTGCCCCAACAGCGGCCCACAAGTCAGCATTGCCAGCGAGACCCACAGCCCAAGCCCCAAGGACGGGGAGCGGTGGGGGCTGGGCAGAAAAGGCACCAGGGGCGGAACTCTGCCTGCAAGGCAGGCGGCCACCGTGGGAATGCAGTGGCGCGCCAGGGGTGAGACGAAGGAGAGACAAGTGGGCCACAGCCACGTAGTGTCCCTCGAGTCACCAAAATTAGCAGGCCCGGGGCCCGCTCCCGGAGGGACGGAAAGACGGGGGCTGGGCAGGAGGTGGTCCCAGAGAGGGAGCATTGCCTGCAAGTCTGGCTGCGGCTGCAGCTGATGCTGCGAGTGTCAGGCCCAGGGAGGTATAGGCGAGGGCCGGTGTCGGGGCCCAACGCCAAGTTCCTATCAAACACATGTCGGAGGTCGAGCCAGGGAGGGCGAGTGACCACAGCCCACAGCGTGAGTGAAGTTCTGATTCAACTGGCCTAACGGGCCCCGATGTACGGATAGCGATAATAGCGAAACGCGTTCCGGGATGACCTAACGGGCCCCACTTTACTTTGAGAGCCGGGGGCAAAGCCCCGGGGCTCCTTGGGTCACAGGTCAGTACGTCTGCAAAGCGAGTGGCGGTCGGCTGTCCACTGGGGCGCCGGGTGGGCGTCGGTTCGGGCTGGTCAGGGCGAGCGAGGACCGGAGTCGGAGGTCCACGCCGAGCCCGCGGCGGCCACAGGTCGGACGTCGAGCCAGGGAAGAAAGTGACCACGTCGGGCGGCAGAGGACAGACACCGAAACCATTGGCCTAACGGGCCTCGGTTTACGGTCAGCGATAACAGCGAAACCCGTTCCGACGTGGCCTAACGGGCCCACAGGCAGGAGAAGCGGGGGCGCTGCCCCAGTGACTCCGTCAGGTCGGGGCCAGGGCAACGAAAGAGGGGAGGGGGCGTAGGCAGTCTGCAGGGGCGTCAGGTCGGCGCCTGGTCGGGAGCGGCGGGGCGGGCACGGTTGGGTACCTGGGGCGAAATCAACGCGCCCAGGGAGGGACGCGAGGTCGGAATGGGGCACGCTGGGACACGGCGGGAGGGTAGAACCCTATAGCCATGTGCGGGAGCGCTTGTCTCCCCGCCCGTCGCCGCTATCCTCTCCACCACGCTAGCCCGCTGCCTGCCAGCCATCGGCGTCCCAGCCCTGCCCCCATGACCATGCGGCCCAGACCTAGGGTTGTCGGGAGCTGGTGGCGCGCCCCCTGCGTTGCTGGGAGCTGGCACCCTGCTGTCCTGACCACTTGTCGCGCTCACGGCCCCAATTGACCTGCAGCTCGTGCTTGCGATCCATCTCGCATGCGTCGTACCCACAGCGCTTCCAGGCGTCGAGGAAAGCGCGGCACGGGCTCTCGGGATTAAGGGTGGGTTCACTCTTCGGGCCATTAGGAGCGGGGTGTGTCCGAGTGTAATTCGGCGGCTGGTGGGGACACGCGAAGCGTCTAGAAGATATCGTAAGGACGAAGGACCTTCGACGAAGGATGATGAGAGAGTTTCAGGCATCCAGGGCCTGGAATGCTCTTGGCACTCGTCGGGCACCAGGAACCTCACAGGGGAGCCCAAGAGATCCCCAGGGCCTCAAGAAAACTCTGGGGGACGAGGGCGAGGAAGAGATGAATGGGAAAGGGTGTGTGTGTGTGGAGTGGCACGGATTGTAAACCTCCCGTGCTCACAGAGGGCCTGATCAGAACCTTCTGTCCCCACCCTCCCTGGGCGCCAGCTCGTTTCTGCTCTTTCTCTGCCCTCTCGCGGGGGCAAAACGCCGCACGGGCATGGACCTCGTCGTCCCGTCGTCTGGCTGGCCAGACGAGGACGAAGGCGTACAGTCGGGGCGTTGACCTAAGGAACCCTGAAGAAGGAACGAGGCCCTTTTTTCCCCTAAATTAAACTTCGACTTCCCATCGAAAACATAAGAAAAACCTGAGGCAAGCTGTGAAACAATTAAGGAACACGGAGCCCCTCCCCAACGCAAAGGGTTCCTTCTTCAGCGACCCGACTGTACGCGGACCTGGCGGTTGCTGCGGGCCTGACCTCAGGCGAGGAGGAGGGGCAGGGTGCGAAGACAGCCAGCAGGGGGCCCTGGCCCCGCCGATCGGCCTCTGGCCCCCCGGGCCGACGCAGACGTCCATCTCCACCGCCGTGTACTCCCCGCCACGCTCGGCGAGATGAGCCCCCATGGCACCTGGAGGAGCCACGCTTGCCGAGTTTCGCGACCAGCCCAAAAGTCTGTGAGCAAACAAACAGTAACATGAACAAACAATATCTGAGGTCCGCGAGGATTTCTCGGATCCTCGTTGGACCCCCCCCTGGCGTGCGGAGCGCGCCAGCGAGGCGGCGCAGGAGGCGCCGCTAGGCGGGCCCCAGGGCCAATCCGAGAAATACGCGCGGAGCCCCGAGTCGAAATGCCATTGCCTGCTCCCCGAAAGAGAGTCGAGGGAGGAGGTTCTCGAGCGATTGTTGCTCCTGTCGGGCCTCCAGAAGCCTCAGGCCTCTGGAGGCATCTGGGGAGCTCTGTGGGGTCAGGACCCCCCCTTCCACTCCACCCTCCTCCTCGCCGAGGAGGAGGAGGAGGAGGAGGCCGAGGGGGACCAGACTGGCTGGTGCAGTGGGGGGGAGAATTCTGTATTCGAGCGCCGTCGAAGCTCTTCCAGGTCTGGGCGAAACAGCGGCGCATGAAGTCGCGGCTCGGGACGCTGACGGCTGGCCGGCAAGAGGAAGGTGCTTCTCCACTCCGAAGCCTTCCCCTAGTTGTTATTTGCCTATGTTGGTTCTCCCCCGCTCTCAGCGTTTCTGTTTCCCCCCTCGTGGCTTGTTCCCCCCTCGGGGCAGGGGGGGCCTCGGAGGCGTTCCAGTTCGATCTGGGCTCACCAGGATTGCAATAAAGCCCAGGATTCGTAAGAAAGATCACGGGTCACTCCTGACGCACTTCGTGACCCCTGGATTTCCAGAGAGAGGCAGTGCGGAGGTGGCACGGGTGCGCCACCCGCCCTGAGGCAGCTCAAGCGGGCCAAGCATGCTTCTCGCGAAGCCGCTGGCCGACGACGACGACGACGGCCTCCTCCTTTTCTCCTCCTCCTCCTCCTCCTCCTCCTCCTCCTTCTCTCCTCCCTTCCCTCCCCCTCTCACTCCCCCACCCCCTCCCCCTCCTCCTCATCAATCTCCACTTCCTCCTCCTCCTCCTCCTCCTCGTCGTCAGCAACATCATCTTCAGTAGCATCAACATCATAATCCGCATCCGCATCATCATCATCAGCATCAGTCATCGGCATAGCCATCGTAATAATCAGTATCACCATCACCATGACAATCACCATCATCACCATCACCATCACCATCAGCATCATCATCAGCAGCATTATCATCATCGTCGTCGTCGTCGTCGTTGTCATCATCACCACCAGCACCACCATCACCACCCACCACCGCCACCACCGCCACCACCATCACGATCATGATCACTATCGCCATCGCCAACCTCAGCATTAACAACATGACCACCACCACCACCACCACCACCACCATCACCATCAAATCAACACCGTCATCACCGTCATCACGCATCGCCATGGCAATCACCATCATCACCATCACCATCACAAACATCATCAGCATCAGCACCGTCATCATCATCATCATCATCATCATCATCAGCATCATCATCATCATCATCAGCATCATCATCATCAGCAGCACCATCAGCATCAGCAGCATCAGTATCATTGTCATCGGTATGGTCATCGTAATCGTGATTGTAATCGTGATCGTCATCGACATCGCTGTCATAAGCATCATGATCCTCAACATTAGCGCATCAACATCATTTGCATCCTCAGCATCAGCATCTTCATCGTCAGACTCGTCATCATCAACAGCATCACCAGCAACATCATCATCATCATCATCATCATCATCATCACCATCATCATCATCATCATCATCATCATCATCATCATCATCATCATCATGATCATCATCATCATCATCATCATCATCATCATCATCATAAGCATCATCATCAACAACTTCACAACCACCATCAGCATCATCACCACTACCATCAGCATCATCAGCAGCATCAGCATCAGCATCATACTCATACTCAGCAGTATCATCGAGATCACCAACATTGTCAACATCATCATCATCATCATCATCATCATCATCATCATCATCATCATCAGCATCAACAACATCATCCTTCTCCTCCTGCCTCCAAGTTCACCTCCTCAGCCTCATCAGCGTCGGTATTCCGCACCCCCCCCTCCCCCCGTACTACCCCCCGAATCCTCTTGCCCGCCAGATGTGCAAGCTCGAGATCAGCATCGGTGTCCCGGCGAGGCTGCATTCGAGGTCCTTGCTGGCTTCCATAAGGCTCCTGGGGAGGCGGGGAAGGGCACCAAGAGGAGGAATAAATCTCCCCCCCTGGTGCTGCTGATGCTCATTGTGTTTCGGCTATCGCTGGTCCTTCTCCCCGTTCAGTCCTCTCTCTCTATCTCTCTCTTTCTCTCCTCTCCTTCTCCACCTCATCGGCCAGAGCTCCTGCAATCGTCGACGGGCACAACGGCGCCTCCCGAATACACCCCGCAGAACCTGTCACTGACTTTCCTCATGCGTTCGGCGAGCTCGGTCTCCTCGGGGGACCCAAGCACAACCTCCTTCTCCCCTTCCCCGTCCCCGCCTCCTCATCCCAGCCTCCATCCTTATCCTCACGTGGAGGACCAGGAAAGGAGACCAAGGAGGCAGAGGCCGAGGACGAAGAAGAAGATGCTGATCCCCATGATCGGGATGATCTGGGAAGGGGGCCAGACGGATACGGAGGATGGAAGAGGAGTTCGGAACAAGATCCATCGCGGCGCCACGCCGTATCGCCCCCGAGGCGAAGAGCGAATCCACGACCCTCCGCAAGTCTCGCGTGGCAAAATCCTTCGGGCTCGTCTGCAACTTCCGCGTGGACTCCCGCACGACCGCTGCCATGAGGTCCTTCGAGGATGAGGACCATTGGGTCGGGCCGTATTATTGATACCAACAGCAACAACAGCATCATCATCATCATCATCATCATCATCCTCATCATCATCATCATCATCATCATCAGCATCAGCATCATCAGCATCACCCTCATCATCAACAGCATCATCATCAGAATCATCATCAGCATCATCATCACCATGACCATGACCATTTCCATCACCACCATCATCATCAGCATCAAATTCATTATAAGCATCATCGTGATTGACGTCAGCAACAACATCATCATCATCATCATCATCATCATCATCATCATCATCATCATCATCATCATCATCATCATCATCATCATCATGCTAATGATCATCATCATTATCTTGCTGCTCAACCTCCTCCCTCATCATCATCCTCACCATCGGCTCGGCAACATCATCGACAGCATTAGCATCGTCAGCATCATCATCATGACCATCACCACCAATATCACCATCACCATCATCACTGAACTCGTCAACATCGCCATAAACGCCAATATCACCATCACCACGATCATCATAATCTTCATCATCAGCCTCATCATCATACTCAGCATCATTATCGCCATCATCTTCATCATCCTCATCCTCATCCTCATCATTAGTATTTGTTGACCAAACTTATCGTCACGATCATCAGCATCGTCCTCTCCATCGCCATCGTCATCGGCATCATCGTCATCAGCGTCATCATCATCATCATCATCATCATCATCATCATCATCATCATCATCACCATCACCGTCATCACCATCATCATCATCATCATCAACAACAACATCATCACCATCCCCATCAGCATCACTATAACCAATTTCATCATCATCAGCATCATCATCATAAGAAGCATCATCCTGATCATCAGCATATCTATCATCATCATCATCATCATCATCATCATCATCATCAACATCGTCATCTCCATCGCCATCGTCATCGTAATCTCCGTAATCGTCATCATTGTGATCATTGTCATCATCATCATCATCATCATCATCATCATCATCATCATTGCCAACACCGTCATCATCAGCATCATCACCATCATCATCCTCATCATCAGGCAACACCACCACCATCATCGTCATCATCGTCATCATCATCATCATCATCATCATCATCATCATCGTCATCACCATCGTTGACATCGTCGTCGTCGTCCATCGTCGTCGTCCCTGTCATTCGTCGTCGTCGTCGTGACAGTCACCGTCGTCGTTGTTGTCGTCGTCGTCCTCGTCGTCGCCGCCGCCGCCCCCAGCGCCGGGGCGCCGGCGCCCGCCGTCATCGCCTGCCACCGGCGAGCAGGGGAGGGGATGGGGGCGAAGGATTCGACCCCCCCTCCTGTGCATTTCAGAGGGTGGCCAGGGATCGACCCCCCCCTTCCAAACGTCCACAGGAAGCGCTCTTTCAGATGTTGAGTGCTATATGCTATGTTCGTCCAAGGCTCCTTCGCGGTATGCATCTGGGCAATATTGTCCGATTCGCATGCTGCGTCGGTTGAATTGTTTGTTTCGCATATCTTTTCGCTCAGCGTTCATAGTTTCGCTTCCACCGCTTGGGGAAGACTGACAGTGCACAGCTCTTGAATGTAGCTGCACGGGTGGCTGAAAAGTACCTCGCGCATCATTTGCCGAGGCCACTAATCAAAATATGTCGAGTTACTATTACGCCATGACCGACTCGCACCGCTCCGTGTGGCAGACCCTTCCATCCCAGCCGCGCTTACAGTCGGACGTGATTGCTTCGCCCATTGGTCCACAAAGCTTTGGAGTTGATGCGGAATGTGTGTGGGACCATGGCGAACTGACCATCTTCTGAGGCAGAGCGCTTTCATGGCGGACGCAGGTGCAATCTCAGCGTGCTTTTGGGAGCAACATCGCTAGATTTAAAACGAATGCATACACAGAAACCTTTTTAGGTCCGCGCGGAGTTCTTGGAACGGTGCTGGACACCCCTGCTGGCGCCTGTGGCGCCGCCCCTGGCGCTCTTCGCGCGCCAGGGATGGGGTCCAACGCCGATCCAAGTAATCCGCTCGGACCTTCGAAAATGTATGTTTATGCAATACTCTCACGCTCGAACCTTGGGAACACCACGGAAAACGGCTTCGACGCGGACCGTCCGGCTGCGATGGCAGCTGCATCTCGCATTCCCACTGCGAGGAGCCGTTCATGGCGTATGGAATCTCACAGACGGGCCACGCACTCGTGCTTGCCGGCAAAATGTCTTCAAAACTTGGAAGCGCGATGTTCGCCAAGTCCGCCTCCGCGTCGGCCGAGGAAGCGCATCGCCCACTCCGCAGTCCTGGGCTCCTGGATCGGCCAGTCCAGGAAGGGGGCAACGGCGCCATGCTCCACGACCTGCCGCCAGTGTCTCCTCCGGCGTCGGTCGCCCACGAAATCGATCGGCATGGTCCTGGCGCCGGCGACACTCTCGCAGCGCATGAAGGCACCCCCCGCTCCCGGAACAGCGCCCGCCCAAAGCGCCGCCGCCAGGCCGCGCGGCCCGGGGGCCGCGCCTGGCACCTGGCAGGGCCCCGCGTCGCCGAGGCTCGGCGTCCCAGCGCCGGGGGAGACCGCCATCCGGCGGTCGAGGCCGCGGCGAGTCTCGGCGACGACGCGCGCCAGCTCGGCGCCGCGCGGGGGGTGCGGGGCCCAGGTGGCGAGGCCTCGCGCGGGCGCCGCGGCGGCTGTGCCCAGCGGAAGCGGCGCGCCTCCTGCCGGATCCGCCCCAGGCCCTCCGCCGCGGCGGCCCCATGCAGCGTGCTCGCCTCGGGCTGCGAGGCGCGCCTGCCGGCGAGCTCTCGGAGCTCCAACGGCGTCATCTCGCGACGGAACCGGCGCGAATCCCTCGGCGCCCCGGGCGGGGGGCGCCGCCGCGAATCGATCCACCGCGCTGCCGCGACGTTGGGATCCGAGCCACCACGAGTCTCGCAATGCACCTCGCCGTCTGGCGCGGCGGCGTCGCTCGCTGCCGCTGGAGCTCCCGCCGAGACCCCCAGCGCTGGCCGCTGATGGAAGAAAACGGCCCCCGCGCACTGCGCCCGCGCCCGCCCCTGCACCCGCGGCTGCGCCATCGCGAAGCGCGAGACGGGGCCGGCGGGCCCCGGCGGGCGCGCGCGCCGAAGCCCGCCAGCACCAGAGCCGCGCTCGCGAAGACCCCGACGCCCCCGCCGAGCAGGTCCAGCGCCAGCCCTGACGCCAGCCACAGGGCGCTCCAACCGCCGCGGGCGCGCGGCAGCACCGAGGCAACGGCGGCCGGCCCCGCGGGCGCCCGCGGCGCCTCCTCCGCGGGGACTTCTGGCCCAGTCGGGCACGCGGGCGGCGGGGGGAGGGGCCGCGGGGCATTGGAGGGAGGGGCGCGCGAGAGCCTCCGCGCAATGTTCGGGGAGCGCGGACAAGGCGAGACCTCCACTCGCCGGGCGTGGCCAGCTCCCGAATTCCGATCAGGCCATCGCGGCCGAGACGTTCGGGCTCGGCTGCGCGATGAGCTCGATCCAGGAAGCGCACTGGCGGCTCTCTCCTGCGCTGCCAGCAACGAATATGCAATTCGAACGATCGGGTTTGGAGGAGGAGCAGGAGCAGGAGGAGGAGGAGGAGGAAGAGGAGGAGAAGGAGGAGGAGGAGGAGGACTCACGACTCCAATCGGGAAGTTCATAGCGCTGAGACGCGATGATGACCCAATTGCCCGCGCGAGCGGGCTTGTGTATGTGCGAGCACGGATGCGTGAAATCATTCACCCAGACAGACTGCACAGGGCGCCGTCGCACTGGGGGAACAAGCGTGAAATTCCTGGGGCCCACGCGGAGTTACTGGATCGGCGGTGGCCCCCCCGCGCCGGCGACCCCCCATCGGCGCGCGGAGCGCACCGCGGGCAGCGCCGGGGGGCGCCTCCGGGGGGGGGGGGCAGCGCCGATCCGAAATATTCGCGCGGACCTCCAGAAGCTCAGTATGATCATGTGTTTCCCCTCTGCGCAAGACCCAGGCGCCGCCGTGCGCCTGCCCGCGGAGCGCGAATGCCGCCGCGCGCGCGAGCCCAAAGCGGGGGCTTTGCCCTAGCTTCATCATAACCTTTCACTGCAACGGCGCGGGCGGCCGCGCGGGGGGGAAAGGAGGGGCAGAGGGGGGCGAGAAGACGAAGGCGCAGGCAAACAAGACTCGGGGTCAGCTGCCCGAAACAACGCCGCCGCGAAACGTCGCGCGACGGGCGGGCCAGAGAAAATGCAGGCACCGACTCGGCGCGCCGTGGCCTCGCGCATGTAGCAATGCGCCACTTCTCGGGCGGCGTGCTCTGAAGCGACGCCCGCGCGTCGTCCGAATTTTCCCTCGTTCGTCGCCGCGTAAATCCCGCGGGCCAAACTCGCTCACCGCGTCAATTCTGAGTCGCTCCTGCAATTTCGCGCGCCCAGCACGCGCCGCTTCCGGTTCGCCTGCGAGCCGCGGGGGGCGACGCCCTTCGCCCCTGCCAACGGAGCAGCACACGCAGTGCGCGACGCCGCCGCCCGCGCCCGCGCCCATGCTGGCGCGGGCCAGGGGCCCGGAAGCGGCGCGCCACGCGCCCGCCGGCGATCCCACGTCGAGCCCCACATTGCAGCGGCGACTCGCCGAGCCACCAAAGTACCAAGACGGCGCGGGGCACTCTCCAGGCGGTCGCGGCGGCCGCGTCGGCTGCCAGGCAGGTCTTATTTTCTTAGCTTGCGGAACAGGCACGCGCCCCGACGCCCCGGGCACTGAGGGGGAATCGCTTTCGCGTCCTCGCCCTGGAAGCCGCTTCGCAGAATGATCCTACCCTTGTCCGCGTCAACGCCCGCGCAGAGCTGTTGCTATATAATTTCCAGGCGGGCCCCGCCCGCCGCCGGCCTTCCCCCGCTGGGGCGCGAAGGACCGCCGGTGCGAGCCGCGCCGCAGCGCGACGCGATCGTCGTTGCTTATAGGGCGAGGCCAGCCTGTGTCGGAGTTCCCGCCCAGCCGCGATATCATGGCGTTCCCGGCGCTCGACGCGGGGCGCGCGCAGCGCGGCCGCGGCGCCCCGTCGCCCCAGGGGCGCGGGAAGAACGGCCCACTCCGCGCCAACGGCCCGCGCGCCGCGAGTCCGAAGAGCTGGCCCATTCGCGAGGTCCCTTCGCCAATCTGAGCATGACTATTTCTTCCTGTCCCAGGGGCGCCGCTGGGATCGGCGCAAATTAGGCCAGGAAGTGCAGCGCTGAGGCGCGCAACGCGTTGCATGCAGTGGCGCTGCGCTGCAATCCAATGTCTTTCCCGCTCCAAGCGTCCACTCGGCGCTTCCGCTTGACCTTGCCTCGCGCTGCGTCGCTCTGGCCTGGGCCGATGTGGAAGCCCAGGTACCCCCTAAAGTTCGGGGAAACATTTGGGCTCGATCGCCGCCGATCGTCGCGAGGGAAATCCGGATCTCGTCGCAACTGGCCTCCGCCGGGCGCTTCGATGGGACGGCAGTGGCGGCGTCGTCCGCGGGGGCTCTCGACGCGCCGCGGCCGTGAGACACCTTCTCGATGCGCCTCGACAGCGCGTCAACGACCACGGCGAGTGCCAGAGGCGACGAAGGGCAACCTGGCCGACAGCCATGCGCCGTGGAGAAAGGGAATCATCCACCACCTGCCGCGCGAATAGTCGCAATTGTTATGTCGCAGATTGCGGCCACAAGCTGGGGCCGACGCTCCGGCGCGCCTGGCCACCGCAACGCACTCATCGCGAAGCCCCGTTCGATGGGCGGAAAGGCAGCCGGGCCGAAAAGTCGAAAAGGGCGATGGCGCTTGCAAGCGAGGCTGGCCCTCAACGCATCGCGCGCGATCGCGACACTTTGCTCGGCATCGACTGGCCCCGGAGGAACTCCTTCTGAGCGTTTGACACCCTGGCGATGGAGATTCCCCCCAGCGGAGGCGGGCAACGCTGCGCATAATGCGGTTGTCGGCGTTGACTATCGAAGGAGGTCGGGCGCTCGCGGCGTCGTAGATGACCCCCCGACCTCCGTGGGTTCCACAGCTACCATGGGCAGGCGCAGCAAGATGCCGGCGTTGAACTCGGGCTCGCCACCGTGCTCCTCTGACAAAACAACGAGGCCATTTGTCGTGTGATGGAGCTCGCCCATTACGTTTCACAGCAGGTCCACCCCAGCTCCACGAGCACCTTCCACACCACGCACGGCACCCCGTCCAGGCTGGGGGCAAAATGCTTGCATAGCCGAACGGCGAGCTCGAGATCTTCGCGCTGGATCATCTGGTCGGCTGAATCTGCGGGCGGGGGGCCTCGCCACCAACCGCGCCGCCTCTGGGCGTCTCGTTCTCGATCCGCTGAGGACGCTGAGCTCGATGGGTACATATCCTCCAGCCGACGTGCAAGGAGCCAATCGTCGATGCCTTTTTGTTGGAAGACCTCCGACCAACGTTCGCGCAACGTGTGTAACATGCCTGAAGTTCCAGTCCGGACCTCGCCTCTGTTGTTCAACGCCGCCTTGATGCTGCCGTCGGAGCGTCCACTTATGCGTTGCAGCTTCCTTGAGATGCTATACCTACCTCGGCGGGCGCCCCGCTCATCGCCTTCCCCCTGCTTTCGCTTGACCTCCTCCATGTCATCATCGACCGTCGCCCTGGCGAGCTCGATTATCCAAGTGTGCACGCGTAGATGTTGATGCTGGTCCCAGGGTTTTCGATCAGCGCGCCCTCCCATCTTGCTTGCAATCTCGGGGAAAGCGGCGCGCGCCTCAACAGCCCTTCGCCAATTGCTCTGTTCGATGGCGCGACGGCAACGCATTGCCCGAGCGAGCTTGCCACTCGACGTCAGAGCCTCCGGGGCACGAGGCGTTCCCGGGCCATGCGCTGGGTCACCGATTTCACGGCTTCTCTCATAAGCAGCAGGCGCTGGACCCCTGTGGCACGTCCGTCGGCCCTCCGCAGGTTTTCAACGTAGCGGAGCTTCACCCTGCTGCTCCATGCAACCCCTCCGATGTCCCAGGGAGCGTTGGGCATCACAATGACGTCATGGGCGGCCGAACTCCCCCGGTAAACAACAACGGGTCAATGGCGGGAGGTGTCGTCATCCGAGTCGAAGGCTACGCAACCAATGTCGCGATCCAGCAACGCATGCCCGACCATATTGGTGTACACGCGACCGAGGCGAGAACGACAATCCGCAAACCTATAAGTAAACCTGTCCTGCTCGAGTTCCTTTAGGCCGAGGCGCTCCAAAAAGCGCGCAACGTCGCTGGCCTCCGCTTGGTCCATGTGTAGGCTGAATCTGTCCATCGGGTCCACCGCGAAGTCAAAATTCGCCGTCAAGAATTTTCAACTCAGGGCCCCAACAATACATGGCGTCGACCAGCTGCCTCATATATATATATATATATATATCAGTGCGTTATATTATTCCTCCGTTGTTCAAAATATGAAGGCATACGACCCCCCTTGCACGTTCACCTCCATGCTCCAACATCGCAATATCGCTACACGATCGGGAACAACGTCCACCCAGGCGTACCCCTCTGACACGCCTTTGACCTGACGGAGGAAAAACTCCTTCACCCAAGCGCCCTTTCCAGCCTCGCCGTGCACTCTGGGTGACCAGAAAGCCTTACAATCTCGCGCGGTGCGCAAAGCCCGACACTTCACTGGATTTCCGTGCGACTCCTGGATCATGCTGATGATTATGTTCACGCCGTTCCTTACAGTCGACGCGTACAATAAGGATGCACAATAAGGATGTAAGGGCATTGGAAGGCTATGTCGACACTTTTGGAGCGGGGCGCGGCCAGCGAAAGTGGCCAAGGATGGGCCGAAAGGAGACGATTCACAGGAAACCTTGGGAAATCGTTCACCCTTCCTGTCCGTGTTAACTGTTTCCTTTTTCGATGAGGCGAAGGGGGAGGACGACGACGAGGAGCAGGAGTTGGTATGGGCGCTCGGCCATAATCTTTGCATGCGAAGAACACTGAAACTGCAAATCAAGTGAACATACAAAATTCACTAGAACATGCAAAACAAGAAATACAAATTGTCCCAAACCCATCTAACCCGTAACTGCCGCTTTTGGAGCGCGACCCGAAATTGCTCTCTCCAACAAGCACTAGTTGGACACACAACCGACCCAGAACTTGGAGAAGGTCGGGGTGCCTGAAATGGTTGGCGCTCCAGAAAGTCGGCCAGGAAAGGGGGGGGATGAGGATAAATCCGACCACAATCGGTACCCAAATCTCTCGAGGGGTCCATCTGGTGCAGACTTTCGCCCCGGATCCGTTTGTGTTCCAAGGGCTCAAAACACGGTCCCCTGAGGCTGAACATGTAAGAAAGCTTCCCAAGCACAGAACTTCGAACCTGCCCCCTCTTCCTGCTGACTGGAACCAATGCTAGGCCCCCTCGTACCCCAAGGCGGCTCCAACCCATAACGCATCCCGAGGAAGGTGGTCAATTAGTAGGCGCATCCCCAACCCAAAGCATGAAACTGCACCGAAACTGGAATGTCCCACCCGCTGGTACAGACGAGCATAAAACGAAAATACAACGAAAACGCATGACAGAAACGTCTTATTAGACACCTCCAGGGCCCCGGAACCGCACACCCATCGATAGTACAGGGCAGTTATTAATACATCGGATATATATATATATAGTTTTTAAAACATGATTAATATATGAGTGCATTTATACATGAACTTATCGTTGTTTTTACATACATAGGCTCTGCCTAGAAAGGTTCCTACTCTCTTGGCTTAAAGGGGCGGGCAATGGATATCACCCCGGGCGGTTCCCCCAGGATCCGCCCCGCGGTTCCCCTGGTTACGCCCCCTGGGTTCACCCAGCTTAGCTAAGCAAAGCTAAGCTAAGCTTAGATTAGCTTATCTCATCTTAGCTTAGCTTAGCTTTGCCCAGCCTAGCCTAGTTTAGCTTAGCTTAGCTTAGCTTAGCTTGGCTGAGCTTAGCCTAGCTTAGCTTAGCTTAGCCTAGCTTAGCTTAACTTAGCATAGCTTGGCTTACCTTAGCTTAGCGCGGCATCGCGCAGCGCAGCATTAGCACAGCATAGCATAGCATAGCATAGCCAAGCATAGCATAGCATAACATGTCATAGCATAGCATACCGCAGCATAGCACAGCGCAGCACAGCATATCGTAACATAGCATAGCATGTCATAGCATAGTCCAGCATAGCATAGCGTAGCATAGCTCAGCATACCACAGCGCAGCATATAATAGCATAGCATAGCATAGCATATCGCAGCATATCATATCATGACATAGCCGAGCATACCATAACACAGCGCATAGTAACACAGCATAGCATAGCATAGCGCAGCATAGCATAGCATAGCACAACATAGCGCAGCATATCATAGCATAGCATAGCCTAGCATAACACAACGCAGCCTAGCATACCCTAGCATAGCATAGCATAGCATAGCATAGCGCAACACAGCGCAGCATAGCGCAACATAGCATAGCGTAGCATAGATGTAGATGTAGATGTGAGTCTCGCTGTTGATGTTGATGTAGATGTAGATGCAGGTGTAGATGTAAATGTAGCTGTCGGTGTAGATGTAGATGTTGCTTTCCTAAGTACTCCAACTCCTAGGTAGGGTCGCACTGGGATAATTAATACTAATTCCCTGCATTTTTACTACATGATCCGCACGCGGAACATGTATTAAAAACGGCACTGTAGACGCATGCTCGTCCCAAAGCAGGAGGAAGAGAAGCGGGAGGAGACCAGGGCTCCGGGCAGTGCACGGACAGCGCGCGGTAGGCGCGGGCGCAGCGCGACAGGAACATCGGCCGCAGCTCCTCGATGTTGTGCGCGATTGTGGGGGCCATGTATTTCATCAGGGCCTGAGGCACAGAGCACGGAGCAGATGGATGAGGAGAGGGAAGGGGAGGAGGAGGAGGAGGAGGAGGAGGAGAAGGAGGAGGAGGAGGAGGAAGAGGTGGAGGAGGGGGGAGGAGGATGATGATGATGATGATGATGATGATGAGAGGAGGAGGAGAGGAGGAGGAGGAGGAGGAGGAGGAGGAGGAGGATTGGAAGTCCAGAAATGGGACCAACACCAAAACAGGGGACGGGTCCACCCGAGGAGGATGATTCTGAATATTGGCGCTGGTGGTAATACTCTGGCCACCTAGGCATAGGAGGAAGGCAAACAACATCTAATTACGGCTGGATCTGCAAGAAGATGGTGTGCGACATCCATCTCCGAAATGCACGCTATCCCTGTGAGAACATCCCCCTGCGAGAGCCTGGTCGGTGCACGCGATCCCCCTGCCAAAGCTCCGTCAGTGCACGCTTTCCCCCTGTCGGGCCATGTACTTCATCAGGGCCTTGGAAGACCTAGAGGAAGAACAAATGCATACACATCATAGTGAAGGGACCGAACGGTCATTCGTTGCCCCTGGGTGCTTGTTCCGTCCAGCGGGTTCAACTTGCGTCATTGCTGGTGTCGTCGTCCTCGCCCGCGACCCGCCCGCGACCCACCGGCGGCCCGTCCCGTGACGCACCCCGCGACCCACCCGTGACCCACCCCGCAACCGCCCCCTCACTCTTGTCCACAGCTGCGGGGTGCCACGAAAACTTCCAGGATGGTCCGCGTGGGTTTCTTGGATCTGCGCTGCCCCCCCTCCCTCCCTCGCTGGCGCGCGGAGCGCGCCAGGGACGGCGCCAGAGGCGGCGCCAGGGGGGCCCGGCGCCGATCCAATAGATCCGGGCGGAGCCCCGAAAGTTGTATCATGGATGAGGATAATTCCAGACGGGGACCGATCGTGGACTTGTAAGAACTGGTGGGCCTCGAGAAGGTCTCGGACGCGGCGGTCGTCTCAGAACGTCCCCAAATCCTCTGACAAAGCGTTCCAGAACGCTCCGGAAGGATGAAATCGTCGTCCGCGAGGGACCCCACAGTGTTGACTCGCTAAACGTGCGGCGGGCGCGGCTGCCGACGCCCCGCGTGGAGCCCCCTAGTCGGGCACCTTGGGGAGCTGCGCGATGCGGCGCGCAACCGGCCCTGCGAAATCCGCCACGCTGCCGCCGGCGCAGCGCAGCGCAGGGAACTGCGTACGGTAGCTTCGTGTCCTGACGACCCCGGCGTTGGTTTCCGACACCGCGTGAATCGTTCAGCCGGAATGATTGGCGGCATTCCGTTGGCGCAGATCGTTCGATATCGGCCGATTCTGGGCCACTGGCGGCGTTCAACCTGGAACGCCCGCGCTAGGGTCGTCGTCGCGTCGAGACAACACGGACCTACCGTACACCCTCGGCCACGGAAGAGGGGGAGGAGGAAGAGGGGACTCGCTGGGAAGGATTCGCATCGATGCCGTCCTCGCGGCACAGCCCGCACCCCGCCCCCAGCATCACCGTAGAAATCGAAACCAACGAAGTAACCCTGGGCGCAAGGAGGGCCGTCAATCCACAGGCGCATCACACACCAAATCTGGAAGTCGCGGAATTGGCCCGCAGTGCGACCCAGATCCGAGCTTCCAGGGAAGAGGAGGGGTGTGGGGGAGAAGGAGGAGGCAGGGGAGGAGGAGGAGACGGCCGATGTTTGCCCGGTTTGGGGGTCTCTGGGGGGCCACCCTCGGGACACGGGGCCGTCCAAGGACAGCTCGGGAGGAATAGCCCGCCCTGGAAAAGAAGACATGTGCTCCTGGGCTGGTGGGTTGAAAAGGTCATGGCGCTGGAGGTCCGGCGAGTGAGAAAAGAAACCATGCGACCTTTCCGCTGCTGAACTCCCTGAATGCCTGCTCAGACCAACCTCGCCACTCCGTGACACGAGAACTGCATGCCATATGTAAGCAGCAATCCCTTGGTGAGCCCTCTCAAATCCCGCCAGCCCTTTAGGCTAAGGTGGTCTAGCGACATCATCCTTGCCTCTTCTAAAACCCCTCTTCCCTGCAGGAGGCTTACCTCCTCCCTCCTCCCCCTGAGCTTCTTGTTGGGAGGGGGCGCGAAGTCTCAGGGCGCCCAAGACGGCCCAAGATGGTCCCAACAGGGCCCAAAATAGCCCAAGATGGCTGAAGATAGCCGACGATGGTCAAATACCTCCGAGAGGCTCGACGAGGGCCAGATCACGGTTCCAAGACATCTCGGAGCCCCCTCAGGATCCCCTTTAAGAGGCCAAAAGCCTCCAAAAACATTTGGAACATCAATGTGTTGACTTCTCGCCTTTTCGCTTCCGATGCGCTTGTGAGGCCTCAAGATGGCCAAAGTGAGGTTAAAGAGGGGCCCGAGAGGCCCCCCAGGCGACCCCAAGAGCGTCCAAGAGAAGCCCAAGAGCGCTCCAAAACGGCCCTAAGAGGGGATGTTGATGACCCCCAGGGGGGAAGGCGAATCAGGACCCTCCCCCATTTTGATCGATGGCCTCCAAGACGGTCCCAAGAGGCCACCATGGGCTGCCAACTGACCCCCAAGAAGGCCCCAAGACCCTCCAAAGAAGCCCCACATGGACCCCAAGATCCCCAAGATCCCCCAAAAAAATCGGAAGAATGCTTCAAGAGGCGATTTTTGGGGCGCCGTCCTCGTCCTCATCGACCTTCTCCTCATCGTTCTCGTCCTTGCCGTCATCGTCATTCGTTTCCTCTTCCTGCTCTTCTTCGTCGTCGTGGTCATCGTCGTCGTCGTCGTCTCCCTCCTCCTCCTCCTCCTCCTCCTCCTCCTCCTCCTCCTCCTCCTCCTCCTTTTGCCACTCCCTCCCTCGCCCCCACGCGGGCCCCAACGATGGCCTGACGAGATCTCTCTGCACGTCCTAGTTGCCCACTTTGCTTCACTACATGTGTCTCTTCGTCTCTTGGTCCCGTCACGTCTCTGAGCATGTTTCTGAACGGGCTGCTAGGGATACTTTTCGCCGCGGCCGCAGGCGAACGCGCCAGCAACGTGAAGAATCGGGCGCTGGTAGGAGTACTTTTTTAGTCAGCGGCCGCGGGCGAGCGCGCCGGCGGCGTATCAGGTCAAGGCGGGCTACGCAAAGCTTAGGCAGAGGAAACGCGAGAAAATCAAAGCAGAGGCAACGCGCGAGGCAACAGCTACGCGCCGGCCGAAGCCTCACGCAGCGGCCCAACGGCAGGTGGGTGGCTGAAGGGACTGAGACTGAGGGGAACTGCCAGCGCGCAAAGCTGCAAGTCCGTCGGAGGCGCCAAAAGACGGAAAGTCAACGACGGCCAGGGACAGCTTCGAGAAAGAAAACACGATGCCGTACATCAGACGACTGCGTGGGCACCAGGGTGGCCGTGGCCAACGAGCCGTCAGTCGAGGTATGAAAGGCTTGTATGGATACTTTTTTGGTCGCGGCCACGGGACAAAGGTCAGGCGGCGATTGCAACGTCTGGGCCACGGGCGAGGCTAATTGCTAAGCAGAGCGCCGGCCGGCCCACTCAGACGGCGGCTGCAGGCTGGGTGACGCTGAACTGGCTGGCGCACTGCAAGCTCGGGCACGTGCACTGGACAAAATGACCAGAATTCGACGTGGCCCCCGCAGGAAACGCGCAGGATTTGCGGATCCCGAAGGGCCGGAAGTGAGTCGCCGATGAGGCGCCAGACTCCAAACGGACGACCTGCGTACGCCAAGCCGGCTGAGCAGCCGTGAACCGTGGTGCAGCGCACTGGGGGGTTGCAGGTGGGTCTGAGAGGCTGCCATGACGCTGAAGGCTGGACCACTCAGCACACAGGCCAGTCTCACTTGGACCGCATCACAAAATCGGGGGGTGCCGTGCGACTGTGACCCACCCGGCGCGCGCCGGCCCGGTGCGGTCATTGGGAGTGGGAGCCCGCTGGCGTGGTGAGCAACGCCGGCGAGGAAAGAGAAGGAGTGTGCAGGGACCGCGATGTGAACAGGACCCAGTCGGAGTGCCTCCGGAAGCACAGGTTGAGCAATACCTCGGGAGGCACGCGGCGTTGGTACGGGCGATGTGAGGTAGTCGCTGGGCGGTGTGCCGAGGGGGCTGCAACGTGAGAAGCAGGGGGGCCGACCGCTGCCAGTCCGGCCACGCCCGCCGCCAGCACATGCCACCCGGGCCCAGAGCCCGCACCGTGAGCCACGTGGCCCTCTAGGGCCGCATCGAACCGCCGCAGGGGAGGGAAACCAGCCCCAACAGCGATGGGCGAGGGCGGCCCTGGGAGGGGGGCGCCACCCGACGTCTTGCCAGGACGTCGGTGGCCACTGTCGCCCAGAGCGGGGGACACCCGCCTGGCACCAGCAGAGGGAGGCGGGGGAAAGCCGCCTCTCCCCTTGCTCGGGTCCTCTCACACCTTGGCTGGGAACAGTGGTTGATCCGGGGGGTCGCAGCTGATCGCCGGTCAGGGCATTGAATATGGTTGCTTCCTTGATAGTTGATCCTTGGGGGTCGCAGCTGATCGCCGCTAGAGTCGATATGTCAAAACTGTGACCTGCACAGGTCGATCTGCAGGCGCATGGGGGGGGTGTACCAATGGTCGTCCCCTCACCACCCGCGGATGGGTGGCTGTCGTCGTCAGACAGCAGAGTGGGTCTGCCCGGGACCTGTCTGTCCTGCGGGCGAATCCCCTGTCGCACAGGGGGGTGAGATGTCGGGGCTTGTAGGGATACTTTTTCCCTACCTAGGCTCTGCCTAGAAGGGTTCTTACTCTCTAGCTTAAAGGGGCCGGGCAGTGGAAAGCGCCCCGGGCGGTTCCCCCAGTCCCCGCCCCGCGGTTCCCCCAGTCGCGCCCCCTTAGCTTGGCTTAGCTTATCTCGTCTTAGCTTAGCTTGGCTTAGCTTAGCTTGGCTTAGCTTAGCTTAGCTTGGCTTACCTTAGCTTAGCTTAGCCTAGCTTAGCTTAGCCTAATGTAGCTTAGCTTAGCGTAGCATAGCATAGCATGGCATAGCACAGCATATCATAGCATAGCACAGTATTGCATAGCATAGCTTAGCATAGCGCCCCCTTAGCTTGGCTTAGCTTATCTCGTCTTAGTTTAGCTTGTCTTATTTTAGCTTAGCTTTAGCTTAGCTTGGGCTTACCATTAGCTTAGCTTTAGCTTAGCTTTAGCTTAGCTTCAACTTAGCTGTAGCCTAGCTTTAGCTTAGCTTTAGCTTAGCGTCAGCTGAGCTTCAGCTTAGCTTTAGCTTAGCTTTAGCTTAGCTTTAATTTAGCTTCAGCTTAGTTTTAGCTTAGCTTCAGCTTAGCTTTAGCTTAGCTTTAGCTTAGCTTTACAGTTACTAATGCTGCTGTCCTAGGGGCTCCAACTCCTAGGTAGGGTCGCTCTGGGATAATTTTTGATTTGCGGCCCGCAAGGAAAAGTCCAGAGGGCGGAATGAGTAGGGGGCCACAAGCGAACCCTACCCCTACCCCCCACGATTTCTGAGGGGGAGGGTGGGGTTCACTTCGTTCGGGAGGTCACGGGCGAAGTGAACCCCACCCTCCCCCTCAGAAATCGTGGGGGCTGGGGGTAGGGTTCGCTTGTGGCCCCCTAATGAGACTTGTAGGGATACGCGGAGCGTAGAACAATTGCCCTCCCAATGGCCGAGATGGGAGTACGTACATGGCTAGGCAAGCTTCACAGGACTCCTGATACAATAGTTCTTGCAATTCCTGCAACGCATACTCCAATGAACACTTCCAGAGAGCGGGGGAGAACGACACGGGCGAGGTAGAGGAGGAAGATGCAAGCTGGGTGCACTCGCGCTTCATCTGACATCACCCCCCTCTCTCCCTCCCTTCCCACTGCGCTGACTGTTTCTCTATCCGCAGACGCGAGTCTGTCATAGCCGACCTGCCAGCCTGAAGACAACATCGTGTTATGCGCAATCGGAAAAAAAGGTCAGCTGTGCGCACAGGAGGAGGGGGAGGTGGCGGGTGAGCAGGATAATGAACGGGCGGAAAAATACGAGGACGAACAGCAGCAGGAGTACCAGGGGAGGGCGGAGGGGAAACGCGGGGGGCGACAACAATGAAGAAAGACTCGGATCCAGAAAAGGCCCGCGCTGGGGCGAGAGCGCCGCTCTGAGCTACGGAAGCAAAACGCCGATCCGAAAATGAGGCCCACGCTGCAGCGGGAACACCAATTCAAATTACCGAAAACAATCTGACTTGAAAACAACCATGAAGCAACATACGTATGTGACAAATGTGCGGACAAGTCCCTTATAGTCTGGACGGAGTCAGGGGAAAAAGGAGAATACTACTCATATTGTTTGGTGGTGGGTCATGGGAAGGAAGGGGGGGAATACGGGCAGATCGGGGAGGGGAGCACGGACAGATAGAGGGACGGAGGAATGCAGAATGTGGAAGTGAAGAAGGAGCTACAAAGGAGGGCCCAAGGCTACCTTCCAACATCCCGTTTCCTTCAATTCCGCCAAACCCTGGACGAGCCTCGCACGGAACCTTCAGCGTGGCAAAGGCGAATGCGATGTTCGACAGGTGCGACGCTTTGAAGGGCTCTACGCTGGCGTTGGGGTTCTGGGCCTGGTTCTGCAAGCTCACGTGGACGTGGCGGGGCAGGAGCTCCATGAATCTGCGACGGGTGGCGGAAGGGGAAAGAGGATGGAAGAGGGGGGGAGGGAGGGGGGGAGGGGGAGGGGAGGGGGAGGGGAGGGGAAGGGGAGGAGAAGGGAAGGGAGGGAGAGGGAAGGGAAAGGGGAGTGGCGTACGTAGGAGGGCGTGTGGCGGGGAAAAACCAGGATGGGGGGGGGGGGATGGCGGGCCAGTGGGTGGGGACATGGAGGCGAAGCCAAGGTGGAGGAGAGACAAAGCGAGAGAGGAGTGGGCAAGCCAGGCAGCCTCGCACCGTACCTGATATCCTAACCCTCCCGCTCATCCTTTCTAGCTGCACCAGATCACTTTATGTCCGCCGGCCGGGCGGGATAGGAGGGGGCGGGGGTGGGGAAGTAAGACACTACATACGGATCAAAGGGTTGGGCATGTTTACTCAGCCGATTCCAATTGTTTTGCCTGTCTGATTCATTCACCCGAAGTGGCCGCACGCAGCCCAAACAAACCTCAAAGACGCCACCAAACAATCCCTGAGATACCCGCACAGCCCTAAACCACCAGGTAATGATTGCACAATGCTGGTCTCGTGGCATCACAGCCCTGATGCCATCGCGATGCGCACATAGCACGGTCGCGGGGTCGAATTACCACTGGCATCTGGAGTGGGAGGGCACATCATGAAGTAACGCATGCGAGTGCAACAAGTGTGGACATCGAGAGGGGAAATCGAGGCGCATGAGGAAGGTTGGGAGATTACGAACCAAACCATGAAGGCGCCACGCACTTGCCCGACGACGCCTCGTGAGAGAAAGGCCCCACCCACACAGCGTCCTGCCTGCCCGAACCCCCTCGCCTTGCCGCCGACGTCCATCGTCAGGAAGGCGATGGGCGCGGGCGGAGCTGGGGGCGACTGACGACGGGGCGGGGTCACGCTAAAAATCACAGGCGCCCGACCCACGAACCAAACTTACAATCCGAGTTCGGATGCAACCCTTCGCGGCTCCTCGCAAGAGACTCCTTCGCGCTCGCGGGCAAGTTGTTCGAAGCAGGGGGGGCGCGCAGCCTCTGAACCTTGGGCCCCGTCCTATGGATGCCATATGAGCCGCAAGCAGTACCGCACACGAGAGGACCAACCCTTTCCATGACATGCCCCAAGAAGGTGAAACACCGCAACTCAAATTCCTCGCCCCCGCCCTTGACCCAGGGCACCGAAGGCGGTCCGCCCCCAATGCCCTCGACGCCGCCCGACGACCCCGAAAGGCCTTGCTCGGCCCCCATGACCCTAAAGACGCCATACAGCGCCACCTGAACTGCCTCGGGCCTGGCCAAGGGAACAGCTACATAATGCAATCCACCAGGGCCAAAAACCAGGCGGGCGAACTCCAACGGGGGGGCGGGTCACGCGCGCGGCCGCGATCTCAGGTTAGCAGCTTGGCGGTCGACTCTGTTCGCACCTTCGCGAGTCACGGCCTGCGCGCCAGGCTCAGGCCACACCCATAAAACATTTGCGCTTGAAATGTGAGCGGCTTGGGCGCGCCGAGGAATGGTCCCGCCACTCTCGGCCTCTCACGGCGTACCTTGAGCTGCTCCCACATCCTCCGTACGGCCAAAGACTGAGCCACCGCCCATCAAAAGCCGGGCATTTTTTCGAAGGGCACTAAGCTTGCCTGCTTCAAACGCAACGTGGGACATGGACAGTTGCTGCGATGTCGCCCCGATTTTACCGAACAAATCGGCCCCCATGTTCCCGAATCCCCATTCAACAGGTTGGTCGCCTTTGCGCGGGAATTGCATACACGAAAGGTGCGTAAGAACTCGTTTGAACACGGGCGGCTTCCATCCACTGCGGCCCTGGGCAGCGTGAAACATATGTTGGCGCTATATGTCAGCGCGGGCGCCCGTGGCCGACGCACGTTCGCTCGCCCGTTCGAACTCCGCCAGCGCCGCGCCCAGGAGATCCGAGACAGCGAGAAACAGGGAAGATGACAGCTGACCCCCCCGCGACAAAGCACATCTCTATGAAAGGCCAGCGGACTGAATCGAGCCAAGCATAAGGCCTGTGCGCCGCGCGGACGGGCACCGCCCCCGTCTCCCATCTGGACGGCAGCCCGCCCGCGCCTACTGAATTTATGCCAGGAGCTAATTACGCACAGCCCGACTTGTCAACAAAAAGCAGTGGGCCCCCCAGGGCTCAGGACCAGAGCCCCGGTCGCCCCAGAAGGAAGCAGGGGGGGGCAGGAGGAGATCTCCTGAGGGCCTTCGGGGCCTGGGAGAGCTCAGTGCTAAGCCTTGGCAAAAGGACGCTGTCATTCTCAAAAAATTCACGACGTCCTCACTTAGACGATCCCCTCGTTTCGCCCCAGCTCCTCAGACCGAGAACCCCCCCCGCATGATGATGCTCCATCAGATTGGGACATGCAAGCAACATGTGACCAAAATCACCCACCCCCTTCCGTTCTCAACACTGCGGGCGCGGGCGCAGCAACGTCGGCGCCGACCAGGGGCGAGTCGCAGCGATCTGATCGCGGCCGCCCCCCCCGGCGCGCGCTGCGAGCGTGGGGGCCCGCGCCCGCCGACTATCTCCACCTTCCAGGCGCTCCTGCCGGTGCTCGAGGATACTTCATCCTTCCCATCGACGCCCGGCCGCAACACCTTACGCGCGACGATGGGCGCTATCTGCATCGGAGGTATCACCGCGCCCTCGTCGCCGACGCTGAGTGCGCTGCTGAACACGCCCCATCCGACTCTCCTGCACGTGAGCTATGTAGCACCGACTGGGCCACGCACGCCCGGCCAGCCCGGCGAGCGGCCCCGCGCAAATTCTTGCAACGGACGCCAGGCCCGCCCCGGCATGACCATGCCCATGCGCTGCAAAAACAACCAACTCCCGAATGGGTGGTCCGTTGAGCGTCGCGTCGGCGATCGGGTCCGTCCACGGGCCCCTCTGCGCGGCAAATTACGCCGCGATGCTCGCGCCTTCTTTGGCGCGCGCGCGCCCGCCAATGCGCCAGCTGCCCGCCTCAACTTCAGGAGATCGTAATCAAGCGGCCCAGGCGCCAAGCTGCCGCGAGCAGCTACTGATAATCGAAATGTTCTCCGCAGCGATCAGACCCTGGCTCCGGCCGTCTTCTGCGACGACATGGCGCGATCCAAGCGCGCCTAGATTTGCCACTCCGGCCTTCGCCACCGCGCGGATCGCCTTGCCTGCGGCCGCGCCATGACTGGGCAACCCCATATGCTTCCTCTTCGTGAGCCTCGGGGCACGAGCCCATCGAAGAAACTTGCCCAGCGCTGCCCGCGTCGCGCCAACGTTGCCCGACTTCGCGAACAGGCCCACCTAGCCCAGCCCCCCCGCGCCAGACTTGACCTCTCCGGCGGCCGCGACCAACTCGGAAACATCACCGACGTTTGTGGCGCCCCCCATAGCAGAACACCATCGTCGGCGCTATCGTCGATTAGGGCCCGGGGAAAACCGCCGGGCGCAGCCCCTGGACGCAGACGAGCGAGCGCGCCATCAGCGCCGCGGGCAACGTCGTTGCGCGTCAACAGCCGGGCACGACGCCCTGCCCAACGCTCCTCAACTCTGATGCTGGCCCGCGCGCCTCCACCGCCCTCGGCGTCTGCAAGGCACGACCATCTGCAATATCAATCTCGCGAGATACCCACTTCCAAAGACACTCGACACTTGGAGGCGAGAATCTTCACCGCGCCGAAAAAAAACAAGCCACGCATCCGTCGTGACCGCGAAGGAACGCCCCCTAAGTAATAGCTTTGACATCTCAGCTGGGGCAGTGTTCAAGACGGTCGACCCTGATGACGCGTGATCATGCCTGGTCTTCCGCGCCGATCGGGCGCGCCTCACTCTGGCCCGCAGCCGCATCATCGCTCGAATCAGAGCCGCCAGCCACGCCCCCCCCCTCTTTCCCCTAGGGGCCCTGGCCGCCTCCGAGTGGCCCCCCTGCGTCGGCAGGCTCATCTGCTGCTCGCGCAACGCGATGCGCGCCGCCTTCGTGCCTAGCGCATCCGCGGGGGGAAACCAGACCGACTGCGGTGGCAGCTTCGACGGGCTCGCAGGTGTCTCCCACCTGAACGCGTGGTCGGTTTCCTGTATCATTCTGACCTCTAACCACAATGTGCGGCAGTGGCGCCCAGCCCCCCCCGGTCACGCAGCAGCTCCGCCACCTCGCCGTTGACGTGTCAATCTGGCCTTCGCCACCGCGCGGAGGGCCTTGCCTGCGGCCGCGCCATGACCGGGAAACCCCATCTGCTTCCTCTTCGTGAGCCTCGGGGCACGAGCCCATCGAAGAAACTTGCCCAGCGCGGCCCGCGTCGCGCCAACGTTGCCCGACTTCGCGAGCAGGCCCAGCTAGCCCAGCCCCCCCGCGCCAGACTTGACCTCTCCGGCGGCCGCGACCAACTCGGAAACATCACCGACGTTTGTGGCGCCCCCCATAGCAGAACACCATCGTCGGCGCCATCGTCGATTCGGGCCCGGGGAAAACCGCTGGGCGCAGCCCCTGGACGCAGACGAGCGCGCGCGCCATCAGCGCCGCGGGCAACGTCGTTGCGCGTCAACAGCCAGGCGCGACGCCCTGCCCAACACTCTTCAACTCTGATACTGCCCCGAAAGCCTCGACCGCCCTCGGCGTCTGCACGGCGCGGCGGACTGCAATATCAATCTCGCGAGATACTCACTTCCACTGACATTCAACACGTGGATGCGAATGTTCACGGCGCTGAAAAAATCCACGCGTCCGTCGTGACCGCGAAAGAATGCCCCCCTAGTAGCTTAGGCATCTACGCATGGCATTGTTCAACACGGCCAACCTTGATGACGCGTGATCATGCCTGGTCTTCCGCGCCGATCGGGCGCGCCTCACTCCGGCCCGCAGCCGCATCATTGCGCGACTCAGAGCCGCCAGCCACGCCCCCTCCCCTTTCCCTAGGGGCCCTGGCCGCCTCCGAGTGACCCCCCTGCGTCGGCCGGCTCAACTGCTGCTCGCACAACGCGATGCGCGCCGCCTTCGTGCCTCGCGCATCCGCGGGGGGAAACCTAACCGACTGCGGTGGCAGCTTCGACGGGCTCGCAGCTGCCTCCCACCTGAATGCGAAGACGGTTTCCTGCGTCATGCTGACCTCTGACCGCAATGTGCGGCAGTGGCGCCCAGCCCCCCCAGTCGCGCGGCAGCTCCGCCACCTCGCCAGTATGCACCGGCCGCACATTCGCCCACTTGCGCATCCCACGGCCGGCAAGACCATGCTGCGATTGCTCACTTCCAGCCCCAATGATCTCTTGAGCTGCTTGCAACCGCGCGAACCGATGTGCAGCGCTGGCTCCTTTCCCAAAGGCGCCGTCCACGCGCTGTGCCATATTGCGCGCTCGCGCTTCTCCTGTGCCCCCCCCGCCCCGCCCCCCCCCCGGCCCCTCCAGCGCGGCCGTCGCGCTGCTCCTCGACGCGACCGATCGCCTAGCAGCGCTCGTCGCTCGCCAGGAGATGGAATCCTGAATCCGAAATGGAATTAAGAAACCCACGCAGGTGAAATCGCCATTGTGCTTTCGCACTGCCGCGCCCCATGCGAAATCGAAAGAACCCCCCCCCGGCGCCGTCGCCGACGGACGGCGGCCCACTGCGACGCCCAGCGCTCTGCATTCGTCGCGCCAGACAAGATGATTGCCCACCATGCTGGGGGCGCGCTCTCTCCCCCCCCCGCAGATGACGCCCCGCTCCCCAGCGGCCGCCCAGGCGCGCAGCTCGGCCCCGGACTGCGCGGCGGTTTCGCGCTCCTGCGCTCGCGACAACAACGCGCCTCGGACAGTCGGGGATATGACTTTCAATTTGGACAGAGGAAAAAACGGGATTCGCCTGTAGATGGGGGAACTTGTTTTGACAAGTATTCTTCGAATAGGAAAAGCGCCTCGGTCGCATCTTTCCTCTCGCAGCGCCGTTTTCGACCGAGATGCCCACAGGCGCGGCGATCTGCGCCGCATCCGCGGGGCGCGAGCTCAAGGGCGTCGAGTGGGGGCGCGACCCCTTGCGCCGGCCATTGCCTCTCCGCGACCGCGCCCGCGGCGCGCGACCGACGGGTCCGGCGCGCGCGCCCTGGCCGGCGATGGAAGGAAGACCACGAGCTTCGACCGCCCCGCCGCCGCGACCGCAGACCCAGCGCCCGCCGATCCACGAGGCCGCACGATCTCCGGCTCGCAGCGTCTGCCCCGCGCCCTGCGCGCGCCCCCCCCGGCCCCTGTCGCCCCATTGCGCCTCGCCGCCCCTCCCCCGCCCGACCCCCTCGCGTCGCGCCCCCCCCCCCCCCCTCCTCCTCTCCATCCTGCTCGCGCGTCCTCGCCGCGCCCGCCTGTCTCGCGCGCCAACTCCCTCTGTCCTCTCCGCCAACGGCGCCTCCCCCTTCCTCCTCCTCGTCGCAACTCCTGACCCCGCCCCTTTCCTCCGCTGCCCTCTCCGCCTCCGCCGCCGCCGCCGCCTTCTCCTCCTCTTCCTCATCCCCCTTCTCGTTCTCCTCCTCGTCGTCCACCTCCTCGTTGCCCTCCTCCTCCTCCTCCCCCTCCTCGCCCCCCCGCCCCCTCCTCCGCCGCGCCCCCCTTCTCGTCGCCCCGCCTTCAATTTGCCCCCCCCCATGCGCCCCCGCTCGCCGCGGGCCCCAGTGCCGCCGCGCGGCTCCCGCCCCTCACCGCCGGCAGACTCCCAGACCCTTCCCCGGCCCCTCGGGGGCCGGGCCCCCGCCGGGCGGCGAAGCCCAACAAGGCCGCCGGGCGGGGCTCCAAGAATAGCCTTCATTAGATGTTCGACATGGCTTTGCGCAGGCAGTGCGGAATACCCTCCTTTAGATGTGGGAACCGCTGTAGGTTTGACTCGCTCACGCTATGTTTCATGTTCGATGAATCTCCTGGACGCCAGGCACCCGGGCCGGGCCGGCGCGCCAAACCGGCGGGCCGGGCCGCCGGTCGCTGGGCCCGGCGGCCCAAGCAGGGCCAGGCCCCCGGGCTGGGCCTGGGTTTCGGGCCAAGCTGCAAACCATCGGCCGCGGCCTCCGGCGGCGCTGCCAAATCCAGCGCGGCCGCCGGCTCGCCAGCCGGCCAGCGCGCCGGCTGCCAGTCCGCTGGGCGGCGAGGGCCCCGCGTCGATGCTCGCGGGATCACCGCGCCAGCCTCGCCACGACATTCGCGCGGGCCCCGCTGGATCCGAAAAGCGCGGCCTCGCTGCTAAAACTCGACCCCGAGGATGTCGCCCATCATCGCTCGCCGCTCAGATCCACCAGGACGCCCGACCTACTGGACCAGGGCCCTCAAACCGCGCCGCAGCAATCTCTGTACTCCGCGCGGCGACCAACGGAAGAAACGCGGCCGCGCCCCTCAGCCCGGATCGTTCCCGAGTACCAGGCACCCAATGCAAAATTGGAAGACGAGAGAAATTTGGATTGGATAGAGGTTGAAATCACGCATCGAGATTTGACGGGGCGCATTCCGCTCCCGCAGAGGCCGCCCACGAAAAAACGCACAGCCAACGCAAATCAATCAAGCATGGTAGCGAGTTCCCCGCGCTTCGCTCGCGACGTCTGGGATTGTGTCCACGGCGAAAGGACCGCCCCATCGGGGCAGCGATTCCGCGCCTCCAATCGCGCCTTCTCAAAGAGAACCACAACGAAACAACATAGATCATCATTGCAATGAGCACATAGCTCCATGTCGGCTGCGGTTATACGTCCCGTGCGTTTTTCTAAATTTATTATATCTCTCGAGATGCGTCTGATGTCCAGGCTTTCAGTTTCTTCCAGCCACGAGAAACTATTTCCCTCATTGGTCTGTTCAGCGTGGCTGGCGCTGTCGAGCGCCCCGCAATTGCCACCCTGCGCAGCCGCTACATGGGGCCTGCCGCGTTCCACGATCACCACGGGAGGTTGTGCCGATGGTGAGTTGTGGTGGTGGTTGTGGTGGTGGTGGTGGCTGTGGTGGTAGTGATGGTGGTGGTTGTGTGGTGGGTTAATGGTGGTGGTGGTGGTGGCGGTGGTGGGTTGAGGCGGTGGTGGTGGTGTATTGGTGGTGGTGGTAGTGATGGTTATCGTTGCTGCGTCCCCGCTGTCGCCGGCGCCAGCGCCGGCGCTGCTGGCCGCCGCCAGCGCTGGCGTTGGCGCCAGGGGGGGGTCCCTTGGGCTGCCTCTGGACATCGTCGCTGCGTCTCCGCCGTCGGCGCTGCTGGCGGCCGCCGGCGCTGGCGCCACGAGGGGGGGGGGTGAACCCCCCCCACCGGGAGGGGTGGGGGCGGGGGGGAGGTCGGGAGGGGTGGGGGGGTGGGGGGGAGGGGAGTTCCCCCTGGTTTTGATCGACGGCGCCGAGTGTTGTGGAAGGGGGCACCCCCCGATTCGAAACGCGCCGCCGAATGTTCCCAAGGCAAGCGCCCGTGAAACGCGTTCTCTCAAACATCTTGAACCAACATGGCTACGGAGGCGTATGCAGAAGGGAGATGGGGAGGGGCAGGGGCGACATGCGGTGAAGAAGCACGATGGAAGAACAGGACGGTAACAAAAACAACGCGGGGGCGGGAGCATCGGCTGAACTGGCCCCCAGAGCCTAGTGTGCTTCAGCAGGAGCGCCCCGTAGGCCCGCGCTATCGAGGCCAGGTGCTGCGCAGTATACCTCTCCATGTTGTTGGCAACCTCGTGGGCAAGGAGGAGCCAGGAGGGAACGGGGGGGCGGAGCCAGGAGTTGTGGCGTCGGAGTGATGAGGCCGAGGAAGAGAGGGAGGTCCGTTTGCTTGTTTAGGCGGTCTCGGGCAGCTCTTGGACGTCTTCCCGAATCGCCTTGGTTCTCGTCTCGCTCTTCGCGATGCGCGGTTGTCTTCGCGCTTCCGCGCCGCCCCCATGGCAGGAGGGGGAGGGGGAGGGGTCAGGAGGAGGAGGAGAAGGGGCGGGGGTCGACGATGATGACGATGAGCAGGACAAGACAAGACCAAGACAGGACAGGACAGGACAGGACGTGTGCTGACACCGCTCCACGCGAATGCGGGGTGCGTCTCCTAAGGAGGACGGCGCTGGGGCAATAGCCCCTCACAGTGCACGTTGCTGGTCCGCCGCCGTGGACCGTGAAGGTGTCGCTTTGCAGCTGTCTCTGTGAATTATGGTTCCCACCGTGACGACGATGAGCAGGTGCAGGGGAGGCAGGAGAAAGACGAATGGGAAGATTCGGGTTTACCCTCGTTCTAACGGCGACAGTCTGCCGGGCTGGCCCCAGCTTTGAAGCCCTCCACTGCCCAGACTTCTGGCGACTCAGTGCTTCCCAACCATAATGTGGTGTTGGCTCCGCGTTTTGAAGAGACAGCGCCCCGGGCCCCTCTCCTCTCCTTTCCTCTCCTCCTCCTCCCCCTCCTCCCCCTCCTGAAACTCAATCCTCCGCACGAGTCGTTCATTTCGGCACACCCCTCACGCGCTTCGTGGCCCCGTAGGGAGCTCCACCGAAGGCACCAGTGGGAAGGTTCGCATGGCACCGCCGCCCCATTTCGGCACACCCTTCACGCGTCTCGTGGCCCCATAGGGAACTCCACCAAAGGCCCCAAACGGGAGGACTCGCATGGCACCGTCGCTCGATTTCGGCACACCTCTCACACGTTTCGTGGCTCCATAGAGAGCTCCACCTGAGGCCCCAGTGGGAGCGTTCGCATGGCACCGCCGCCCCATTTCGGCACACCCCTCACACGCTCGGTGGCCCCATATGGGGCTCCACCTGATGCCCCAGTGGGCAGGGTAGCATGGCACCGCCGCCCCATTTCGGCACACCCCTCACACGCTTCCTGGCTCCATAGGGGGCTCCTCCTGAGGCCCCAGTGGTAGGGTTGGAATGGCACCGCCGCCCCTTTTCGGCACATACCTCACAGGTTTCGCGGCCCCACAGGGAGCTCCACGAGTGAGGCGAGCCTGGAGCCAGGCACCACTGGGCCGGCCGCTGCCGAGAACAGAAGAGAACATTCTGGAAGGTCCCCGCCGTCGTGCCCCCTGCGCCTAGGCCATCTTGGTGGCCTCTGGGTCCGCCTTGGGCCGTGAGAAATCGAAAATGAGCAAACGCCAAAATCAGTCAAACACCTTAGGAAAATAAATGTTTGTGGCTTCTTCGTGCCTTCCTGGAGGTCCTCTTGGAGGCCTCGTGGGCCAACTGTGCGCAGACGCGCCCGCTTTTGCAGCGCATACTGCCGCAGCCGGTACTACACGTGCACTCCAGTATGCCAGCAGCCTGGATTGCTACGCTCCCACTGGGTCTCTGAGTGTGGGGGAGGGCAACGACAGGGTGGGACTGGCATAGGGGGGCCTACATAAGTGGGCGATTGAGGGTCGATGCATCATCCCCTATGCCTATCCCCCCCATCGTTGCCCCTGAGAGTGCGAGCGCGGAAACCCGCGCCCGCGACGGAACGCGCACGGTCGGACCTACCATGGGCGGGCAATGTCGGCATCCTCGCACGGCCGTTTTGCCCTGACGATGGGGAATACGCATGCTGGAACGTGGTGATCTGTCGCTTCTCCCGTCTCGGGCGTTTCCTTCAGGCCGTTCTGGGACAGTCGTCGGCCTGCCCTCGTGCGCTGCTCGGCCCACGGCCTCCCCAGGGCCTCCTGATCCCTCCTCAGGGTCGGCGGAAACGGCCGCACATACTCTCCAGCATGCATCTAGGAACGCAAGTGACGGTGTATGCCAGCAGCCCTCGACTGCAGCGCCGTCGCGAAGCTCGCAGGGGCAAGGCCAAGGCAACACCGCTCGGGAGTCAGTACACTTGAGCCAGGACAGCTCCAGACTGCCAAGAACAAGCAGGAGCCAGATGCGGAGGAGTAGGAGGATATAACGGGGTGCTTCATAGCTGAAGTAACACTGCAACTGCGCCAAAAATCAACGGAGTCTCAACGTGTTCACTGCGTCTAGTGTTTGGGCCACGGGTGAAGCATTTTTGTTCTTAGCATTGCCTACAAACAAATTGCCAGACTTTGGAGTGCATAGTATGACGCACTGTGCTGTCCAAGATGAGCCCTGTCTTGATATGGGTCATTCAGCTTCCCTACTCGTGCACTTCTATCATGGCGCCGTAGAAGCTGGTCATGCTTAACAAGATATGAGGATAAACCTGTCAAGGTACACCATGAGCCAATGCCATGGAGACACAGAAAGAGAGGGAGAGAGAAACGAATCAATAACAAGTCTGCACTCTAGTGCTATCTTGGTCTAGTGCAACCAACCCCTTCCTCCCACTCTCCCTCTCAGCCTCTCCCTCCTTCCCCCTCTCCCTCCCATTCTCTCCCCTCCCCTCCCCTCCCATCACATCCCTGGCTCCCTCGTTTTCTGAATCGACCTCTCTTCCTCCATCCTCTCCCCCTGCTGCCCTCCCCAGGAGAGCCCAGAATCAAATCGATAAGTCGAATCGGCTATCGACTTGAATCGGAGCAGCGGAAATCGGCAGCCAAGTCGGGAGAAGTCGAATCGGCAGACATCGGCAGGGGTAATGCCTCCGTTGAGAAATCGGAATCCAAATCGGAGTCCGAAAGCGAACCGAGTCAGACTCGGAATCGATCGAGATCGAATCGAGTCGTATGAGTCAAAATGAACCATGCCTCCCCCTCGTGTATCCTCTCCTTGTCCTCCTCACTCCGCTCCTGAACCTCCGCTCCCCCTGCCCGTGCCCCCAGGCTCTGCCCCCCCCTCTCTTGCCATCGCCCGCGGACGTCCATCCCCCGTGCACTTTGTGGTTTCGAGCGTGTATGTTTTTTTTCCGCGAGATGATCCGAGATGCTCCTCGAAGTTCCAGATCTTCAGGCGCTGACCTCGCCGAGTTGACAATGCACACGTCCGAGCGATGCCCAGTCCACCCCCGAGCTGGCAGCCATGTTACCGATCTCCGACATCAACGGCTTGTGGTGCACCTGCGACACCGCCAGCGACCACAGCAGGTTCGCCACGTCCTGGCTCTGGAAGCTCGGAAGGCGCTGGAACGCCTCTACGGGGGATTTGCCATAACCGAACCGATGGAGTGATGTGAAGAACATGCCGAACTTCCCCTCCTCATCGTCACCCTCCTGCTCTCCTGCCCTTCCTCGTCCTCCACCCTCCTCCTCACGCGCCCCGAAGAGTCTGTACTGTTTCTGCCTCGCCTGTAGCCGATATGGCCCAACCGGATCTCCCCCGAGGTGCGATCTGGCCAGAATTTCGGGACGAATTCCGCGGTCGCGACGAGGGCCTCCCAGGAGACCCAGACAGGGAAGAACGAGGCAAAGGTGGCGGTATCGGTACCTCGTCCTCCTCTGGCGGTCACTGACGGCGATGGAGACGTCCAAAAACCAGACGCCCGTTCCCTCGCGACGTGTCACGGAAAATCTGCCCCCGAGAGGCATGCAGAATGCGTGGTTCGGCGAGGCGACGTGAGCGCACGCGGCGTCGGAGAACAGCGGCCGGGCCACGGCTGGGCGAATGGCAGACCGATGTAGGCAGACGAGGAAGGTGAAGGGGCCGCGGAGGAGGACAGCAGAGGGAGTCGGGCTGGGAGAGCGTGCGACGCGCTTGAAATGGACGGTCACATGTTTTCTTTATGGCCATGGCCATGGGTTTTCCCGGATGGGATGGAGCATCACGCGATGTGTGCCACGGTTGTTGTAATAAAAGCCGTGGGGGTGTTCCATCTCGGCAAGACGGAAGCGGGAGTGGAGCAGCCGCGGAGGACAGCGGAGAGAGCCGAGCTCGGAGAACGTGCGAAAAGGGTCGTGCAAAAAGAAGTGGCGTGTTTGCGATACCAGCCCGATCGAGTTCCGAGATGCACCCAACTGGTTCTAGACAACGTCCATCCGCTCGGTTTCCGGAAGTCCGAAAACGTAGCTGCTCTTCGAAGCTGGATGCCTGGCGGGTGCCCACGGGCAAACTCATGCTGGCGATGTGTGTGTGTGTGTGTGTGTGTGTGTGTGTGTGTGTGGAAGGTCGTCTTTCCCCAGAGGCGGCAGAGAACATCAGGAACAAAAATGCAGAGGGGGCCTCCAACAGACACACGTGTGCCGTGACGGCTGCACGGGTGTGCAGAAGGCTCTTCCGCCGCGACCCGGTGGTTGCTGTACCTGATGCTTCGTGCCTTACGTCCGCGCTGGAAAATGGTGTGCCGTGACAGCGGTCCTTGAGCGGCAGCCGATTCGGATTCAGGGAACGTATGCTCAGAGCTCTGATTTGATAGTTCTCGCCGCATCCGGGGGTGCGGTCACGGATCCTCGTGGGAAGGTTGTCCTTGGGTGCATACTGATCGGCACACCTCGCGGGCATCAGCTCTGCGAGAAAGGGACGGCGTGTTGAGGGTGTCTGACCTGCCTAGCAGTGCTCACGAGCACAACCACGCACAAAATCGCCCAGCCGCGATTGTCAAAGGCAAAGCCCACAGTCAGGGAGCGGCAACATCACTGGACCTTTGGGTGTAGACGCTTTAATGAGTTGGATAGTCCAACCTGTTCTGTTCCTTCGGGGAGAGGTTTACCTCTCCCCCGACCCCCTCTACCTGGGTCTGGAGGGGCCTGGTCGCGATCGGGCAGAGCGTCCAAGATGGCCCCAGCTAGCCCAAGATTCCCTCCAAGATCTCACGGTATAGCCCAAGATGGTTCAATATTGCCTCAAACATGCCTCCAAGAAGCCCTCAGACCGCCCCAAGACGGTTCCAAGTGGCCACAAAGGCCCCACCATGGCCTACGAAAGCCTCAAGAAGGGCCCGAGAGAGGCCAAAGACTGCCCCAAGAGTGCAGAAGAGCGAACAAAGAGCGCTCCAAAAACGACGTTGAGGGTCCCGACCAGGGAACTGACATAAGCGCCGCCCGCCCCCTTTGTTTACATCGATGGTCTCCTGGATGGCCCCAAGAGGGCCCCAATGCATGCAGCATGGCCTCAAGAGAGCCCCAAGAGGGCCCCGATAGAGCTCCAAATGCATCCAACATGTCCTCAAGAGGCCCCAGTAGGGCTCAAGATGACCCCAAGATGCCTCCAAGAGGCCGCCAGAGCGCGACTGCATGCTGCTACACATCCCTGACAGGGCAACTCGCCTCGTGATTGTGTTTGGATGGGCTGGTGAGGATACGCGGAGCGGCACAACAATCACATGTTCGAATCCTGCTCCGCGTGTCGCATGATGTAGCGAATCAATTGCGGGATCTGTTGTCGTATCTGTCGTCCGCGCTTTTAATCACCAGACCCTGCTTGCCATGATCCGTCGCCGCCTCCGCCGTCGCTGCCTTTGCCTTGCGGCTGGCGCATTCAATGCACTGCAAGCTACGATGGGTCGGCCGATGCTTCATCATTGCACATCGGCGGCGTGGGCGGATGCCATCACTGAAGGCATGTGCCAACGTTCGGCTGTGAACAAATCGCAATAAACATCCAAGCATCACAACTACTCGGAAGAAGAGATGGGCCCGGACAAATTTGCGAATGTGTCGGTCCCGTGGTTTGCTGCTCGAATGCGTTTACCGTCCACCATGTGGCGCCCGCCACGCGCTCCAAGCAACCCCCAGATGCCTCCGATGATCCAAGGGCGGCTTCCCAAACGACGGCTCCGAAAACGGCCACGACAGCCAAACATAGAATTCCAAATAATATGCGATGGTCCCAGAATCCGCGATGTCCCCGAAAGAACCCAAGACCTGGCAGGCGGAGGGGGGGATAGATTTAAGGGGCCCAAGGACACACAAATAAATACACATATAAAAGGATTCCCCATAGTTTCCCATATTTTATGGCGTCTTCCCGCCCAATTCCCATATGTTCCTATATTTTCTGGAGAGTCGACGATTAATTGTGTCTGTGTTTTTGTTCCCCTCCTGATAGATGTGCCTAGAAGGGGGAGGGGGGGGCGAGGCGACGGGGCACGGTAGAGGCCTAGAGGGAGCGGAAGAGGGGACGGAGGGGACTGAAGGAAGGGGGGGGGGAAATGGAGGGGAGCCTCAAGACGGGGAACGCGCGGGGGGGAAGGGAGATTCGGCGAAGTGGGGAGAGGGGGCTGGAGCGATGTCGTCATCCACCCTTCTCCTCCTCATCATCCTTCCACCCTGCCCCACCCTGACCATCCTTCTTATCCTCCTCCTCTGTCTTCGTCTCCTCTTCCTCCTCCTCCTCCTCTTCCTCTTCCTCCTCCTCCTCCTCCTCCTCCTCCTCCTCCCTTCGTCCTCTCCCTCCTCGCGGAGCTCTCATGCAGGAGCGCGGGGATCGCGACCCCAGACCTTCGACGAATCGATTTAACCGAGATGCCAATCTTCTGAACTCTGGACCCCTATCCACCGAAGCTGGCTTTTCATCCTGACAACGCTCCCAAAGCCTGGAAACGGCCTCCAAACGTCCGAAACGACGGAACACATCCGGCCAATGTGTTTTGAGTCGCCAGTTCGCTGACCCTCTCTGTCCCGCCAGCGCCTCATCGGAGATCGCGCCCATCAGCGGCGCGGGCGAGAATTGGCCCTTGGTCTGCGAGAACGCCCAAGCGACATCGCACATCTCCGCTGGCCTCGTCTGGTTCCCCCCTCTCCCTCCGTTTATCTCCCCCTCGAAGCTCACCAACCCCTTTGGCGACTCGAACAAATCGAGCCAGAAGTGCTTCCCAGTTTCGGCGTCTGGCGGCCGCCACTGGACCGCAGGAAATGTCAACGAGACAACTAGGAACACCAACAAAGTGATACCACACCAGACTCATTCTTACCCCATGCTACTGCTGGCAACTAAATATCAAACTGATGCAACATGTCAGGCTGGCAACGGTGAGCACCACCGGCAACGTACAACAAACGTAGCCACCACTGCAAAACATCAACACTGCGGGCACCAAACACATCCCAACGACAAGCTCATCGGCATCCCGTCCTGGTAGTTAGCCAGGCGACGCTGCAGCGCAGCAGTACCCAGAGCCCAAACCGAAGTCCCAACCATGACGAAGACACGACGCGCCGCCAAAACCTACTATGAACATCCGACATACAAACGCCTGACATAAACCTTGCCGCCAAGCCACGGAAGATACCCTGTCACCTCTGAGACGACTATGTTCCCGCAATAGCTTGAACAGCCGACTTCATATACTGTTACACCTACTCTCACCACATCAACAACGACACAAAGGTTGACGTCTACGTCCCCGTCTGCCTCAAGGACCCAGGTCACCATTGAGGCCTCCTCGTTCCCACCCACCTCTGGCCTCCACTTGTTCCACCCTGCCAATCGTCTCGTGTGTTAGCGTCCCCTGTCCAAGCGACACCACTGAGGCCACCAAGCCAACGCCCCTGCTAGAAAACAAAACTACGACACGAACCTGCGTCATGGCGCCCCACTCGCCGCGCCGGGCGGAATGGTACACGTCTCTTTTCTATGCTCGGCTTCGATGTTTGACCGGGGCGTCCGAAACGGGGGCGTCCAACAGGGGGGGGTCGCAACTCATGGCCGAGGCACATGCACGGCCCAGAGGGGGCCAGGAGGCGAAGCATAAGCATAAACATAAGAATAGCAAGAACAACAAATAAAACACAGAAAAACAAGACAAAAAAAGGAAGGGGCTATATCATGGTCCCCGCCGTGATACGCCCTCCCCTAGTCACCACCTCCCTCTGGCCTCCTCCGAGAAGAATGGGGGAAAAAGGCTCTGGGTCCGGGCCAGTGCTTACTCGATGTGCTTCTACCAGTCGCGCAATCAGACAAGGGGGCAGCAGCCAAGATTGGGGTATGGGGGAGGAGGGGGGCGCGGGGGCCCGTGCCAATCGGCGAAAAAATGCCCCCCAAAACGGTTACACGAGGGCGGGTGGTTAAAACGGGAGCTGAACCACCACACCATCAGGGCACAACCATTGTTCTACAACAGCCGGAGATCCATGCAACAACCGTACAATGTGCTACAACATTCCGTTTGCGCAAACATCGACTGCTTCGGTGTACATTGATCAGCGCACAATGGGCCAGCCGCGCAAACTCAGGTCAGTACCGCGGTCGACTTTAATCGCCACGCCGTTCGCGCCGACATACCTGCCATATGTTTCTATGCGGTCCACGGGTCCACCCCCGTGGGTTAGAGGCGACGGGGGGTCGGAACTGGCCAGTGGGACCCTGGAAAATCGGTCAAGAAGGGGGGGTCGACGCCAAACACAATCAAAATCGGCCCACGACCTGTTCTGGGGTCCATATTGTGCATTTGATCACCCCGGATAAAGTTTCCACTGTCCCGGTACTAGGAAACGGCCCCGGAAGCCAAAACATACATAAAAACAAAACCCAAAACAGACATACATATCGCGAACCCAGAGCCTCGAAACTGCCCGCCATTCCCGATGGCCAAAACCAGTGCTCGGCCAACTCAGACCCCCTACCGTCTCCGACCGCGAGGCCGTGAGCAAGGCAAAGGCTGGCCGGCGAGCGGAAGGCCCTGGCCGGCCGCCCTCCTCTGGCCCCGTGGCTGGGCCCCCCGTGCGCCGTCACAGGACATCCTGACTGGATGCAGCCCCTGACCAGGTCGTGCACAGACTCGCCCAGAGGGGCCCCGTAGGGCCCCCTGCTCGCGGCAGCCTGGGCGCCGCTGCCCCCCTCTCCGCCGCACCTTCCTGCACGGCCGCGAACGCCTGACCAATGCACTAAAAGGGAGAGGAGGAGGAGGAAGAGGAGGAGGAATTGAAATTGCGAAGGTCGGGCCCTCTGGTCCAACTTCCAACTCGGGGCGAGGAAGAAAGCACGGCGGCAATGCGATGTAAGCGGACCTCTTCCTTCTCTATGAAAAACGCGTTCGCTCTAGCGCTTGAGCGCAAACGCCCGAGGTGCATCAGATTCGAGTCGGGAGCTCTGGCGGGGCCAGAAAACGAAGAACATCGGACTGCCATACATATCCGAGCCTGACGCACCTCCCCGATTCTTCCAGGATGCCCTGCCGCCACATGGGAGGCGCGCCAGGCTCGCGGAGTGCTCGGCGAGCGCGCCCGTACTCTTGGGAACGCACATGGCAGCTCACCTGAGTAACTGTGAGGCAGCAAGCCGAGAGCCGCGGCAGTGCGTAAGAGCCTTGCGCCGCGGTGAGAATGACCATGAGCCCAACCTGGAGACCAAGCTCGGCAAGGCATGGCAAACGATCTGCGGAGGCGAGGATGTGGAAGGGATGCTGGAGCGATGAAACAGGTGGGAGTCACATGGGCGGCGTCTGGATGTGGAAACTTCATACTGCGCCTCGCCGCTCAATCCCTGCCCCCCCCCCACACACCGCTGGCGCGCGGCTCGGACTCTTCTCTGGCGTCCGCGCCATCGGCCGCCGTGGGCTCCGCAGCGACCGCGCCAGGGGCGGACTGCGCCTCCTCGCCGTTTTCTGGCCCTGGCCTTCTTCTTGCGCGAGGGCGCGGGACAGGTCCTGCCTCTGCTTGCTCTTGAAACCTCCGCGACGGGTCCGTTTGGGGGGCCTCGCGGACCCGGGCGCGGGCGTCTCCGTCTCCGTGTCATTGGCCCTGTTCGTGCTTCGCTAGCCTTGCTGCCCTTGCTGCCCGTGCCGCCGATCTTGTCGAACATGGACTGCTGGCGCCGCGCCTGGCCGGGGCTGCAGCTTGGCGCCTGGCCCCGGCTGGCGCGCCTGAAGCTGGGCGGCGGCTGCATCTCGCGAGCGCCCGCGCGCGAGTCGCCGGGGCGCTGCGAGCGCGCTGCAGCGCCCGGGTGCCCAGGCGCTGGCGCGACGAACCCTGGCGGCGGACCAGACGGCTGCGGCGGCAGGCTCCTCGGCTCGGGAGACTGGGGGCCGCCGGCGCCCAGGTCGCCTGCGCGCCCGAGGTGCCAGCAGGGGAAGTTCGCCGCATCCGGGCCGGGAAGACCCGGCCATAAGCGCCCAGTGCCCGCGGCGCGCAGGGCGGCACTCGCGGGTCAGTGGATGCGCCCAGCGCGCTGCCGAGCGTCGGGCGACGACTGCGGGGCGCGCGTCTGGGAAGACGCCGCGCCCGCTCGCGACGCGCACCTCGCGGGCGCGCGACGGGGGATCCGCGCGCCCGTCGCCGCAGAAGACAATGCGCACCATGGGCTCCGTCAGAGACGCGCTCGCGCGCCAGCTGCGGCGGACGCCCTCATCGACCTCTGCCGCGTCGAGCAGGTCCGAAGCGAGGAAAGACGCGCTGCAACTTCTCCCGCGCAATCTTCCGCTGCCTTCCTGCCCTCAGCCGCGCGAAGGTGGGCCATGTCGCCGACGACCTCCTGGAGCGCCTCCGGCGGAGGATGCGCTGGCGCGCGCGCCTCGCTCGGCGCCGCGAGCCGCGGGCGCGCTGGCCGAGGCGGCGCCGAGCGCCGGGGGGCCGCGCCGCCGCTGCCGCGCGCGGCTGGGCAGCGGCTGCGCCGGCGCGGCGCAGGCGGAAGCACCCGGTCGCCCTCGCAGCTGCGGCGGCGCAGCGCCTCTGCCAAGCCGGGGTCGCGCGGCGGAGGTGGCGGCGGTGATGGTTTGCTGCGAGCCTGCCTGTTGGACTCCTCCGCTGGCGGCCGCGAGGGCGCTGCGGGCGGCGCCGCCGCGGGCAGCGGGCCAAGCGGCTGCGCCGGAGGGGCGCCGCCAGCCGGCGCTGCTGGCGCCCTGCCCTTGCGCCGCGGTGGCGGGCTGGCGCTCGACCCCGAAAAAGGCGAAGCTCGTGGAGGCCGCGCAGCAGCGGCCCTCTTGACATGAAAGTCTCGGGCGCGCGGGGGGGCCGACAGAGCCGGGTGGTTGCGGGCCGCGCGAGCGGGCGCCGAGCGCCGCGCGCGTGGCCCGCGCCCTCGGGGCCGCAGGCGCAGGCCAGGGCGCGGGCGACTGGCGCCGCGCGGGGCCCGCGCGCTGCGCGGTCGAACGCGCGTGGGCGCACGGCGCGCATGCGCGCGTGCACGCGCGCGCAGACTGCTGCGCGTGTCTTCCCATTCCAAACTGCATCAAAACCACTTTCACCCGGCGCCCGCCGCGCCCATCTCCCGAGTCGAAACAATACTCGACTTGCACAATGAGCTCGTTGACCCTTGCCAACACGACAAAATAGACATGGGACCTCCGGGGGGGAGGATGAGGAAGAGGAGATGCGTTCCGGCCAGACCAGACTGGAGCACGGCGGTCGCGCCTGATGTCGCTGCTGACCGCCGCCCCGATAATCCGGCAAGCTTGCCCGCGGCGACGAGGGCGGCGGCGCGCGGCGCGCGCGCCGCGCCCGCTGGAGACAGAATGATGCGCCGCGCGATCGACGCAGCCTTTCGCGAGTCCACCCGCAATCGCATCGCGGGCGCCCTCCCAACTCAGGGCCGATTGCGGGCAAAGATTGTCACCAGTGCTGGGTCGTCCTCTCCGGCGCCCCTCTCGACGAGGGGCGCGGCCCCCCTGGCCCGCGCGGAAGTATCTGCCCTCGCATTGGCCCGACGCAGCCCGCGAGGAGCACGCGGCCCCCAGAACTCGCAGGGCCCATTCGAAGATCGACGGGGGCGCCGCGCGGGCGTCGGTGAACTGGGTGGCCGCTCTGCCATGCCCCCTCGCGCGCTGCGGGTGCCCCCGCCCCCCCG